TTGTCACTCCTGAACAGGAAACATTAGGACTCTGATGGACTGCTTGATAGACACATCCAGCAACTGGCTGCTGTTTTAATAACAGGAAGTTCCTGCCAGCAGTAACAGGATATGGTCACAGTTCTGTAGCTGGCTTGGGTAAACTTTCTTTCCAAATATCTGTCTCTTTAGCTGGCAAATGCTCCACTTTGTTACCTAGCTAGTTGCTAACTATATAGGCAGATAGTGGACGGTGGGTTTATCAGCTGCCTGCTATGGTGACAAACGAGGCTGATGAAAGAAGTGTGAGTGAACCAAGACAGTAAAGTTATGGGCTGGAAATCCAAAACAATAAGTTGGAAGAAGCTAAAAGGCTTGGCAGGGCTGAAGGGAAATGCAGAGTTGGCGATGATATCGGTTTGTCACTATGAGCAGCCCCTTTCACAATTGCACTTGATCATTTACTCCATTGTTGATATAAAAACAGTCAACAGTGCAGCTTTTAACATGTTAAACTCACCATGTGGAGAGTTTTGGAGCTCGCTGTACACTGTGTCTGTGCCTTTTCTCAGGGGGACTGTTAATGTAAGAAGCAACACATTAGTGTGACTAAACATCAAAAGACAAAGTTTGGCAGACACTGTCTGTTTGATTTATCATTAGCAGAAATCTAAAAGAAGGCGGGTTGTGTCACACTCTGTAACTGCCATCTTCCATGCCTGTTGGGACCTTGAGCACGGGACCATAACGAAGAAGGAGCCAGTATCAGCAACCAGCCTGGCAATTAGCTCAACCCTTCCTGTTTATAACTTCTGTGGTGATTCTGGAAATCCCAGTTCACCTCGCAGTTACAGCAACTTGGAGATGTATTAATTATGGGTAATTAGGCCCCTCCCAGGAAGTGTTGGTCTGTATTATCGACTGTAAAGGAATGTGGGCAAAATAGAGAAAAATGGTTTTGGCGGGGAGATTTAATACAGACGGACAGACAGTTATAAAAATAATAGAGTTTGGAGGGTAAGAAACAAAACTGGCAGAAAAAAAGACAGGCTGGGAGATGGACTCAGAACAATTTTGTGTGTGTGTGTGTGTGTGTGTGTGTGTGTGTGTGTGTGTGTGTAATGTGTTTACCTCTGGCAGGATCCACTGGCCGGGGATGCACCACTTCGGTGTACTCCACATCAGGCTCGTTTGACCCCATGCTGCTCTCCTCGTTGCTGGCTGCACCGAAATACATGAACGTTGTAAACATGCTAAACCCTCTACATGACTTCATAAACCATTATAATAAGGGTACTGTTTTCTTTAGCATGTAAGTTCATTGTTGACCTTGAAAACATATTGACAAAACAATCCCAATTTGAGGTCCACTTACTGGCCTTTTCTGAAGCTTTCAACCATACCATTCATTCAAAAATGAAAACCAAATCATTCAAAAACATGTAATCTCTTTCCACTGCTATGCTGATGACACCCAGCTCTATCTTCCCCTCAAACCAAACGACCAATCCAAACTCACCAATATCTTCAACTGCATCAATGAAATAAAGTCCTGGATGGCAGTAAACTTCCTTCGACTAAATGAAGCTAAATCTGAAATCATTCTCTTTGGCCCCTCTGACAACATCAACCTGACATCCAACAGTCTTGGCAACCTGTCCACTCTTATCCAACCTCATGTCAAAAACTTCTGTGTCATTTTCGATTCTGCACTCACGTTTGATCAAAAGGTCAACTCAGTAGTCGAAGCCAGTTTTTTCCAACTTCGCACCATCTCAAAAATCAAACCATTCCTCAGTTTCAAGGACCTAGAAAAAGTCATCCATGCTTTCATTTCCACCCGCTTGGACTACTGCAACTCTCTTTACACTGGAATTAATCAGTCATCTCTCTCCTGTTAACATTTAGTACAAAACGCTGCAGCCAGACTTTTGACAGGTACCTGAAAGAGAGACCACATCACCCCTGTCCTAGCCTCTCTCCACTGGCTGCCAGTGCAGTACCATATTGATTTTAAACCTCTTTTATTCACATACAAAGCCCTGAATGGAGTGGCCCCCTCCTACATGACAGAACTTTTAACCCCATACTCCACCTCCAGATCCCTCAGGTCGGCTGACCTAGGGCTTTTAACATTCCCCCCTCTGTCAGACTTGCCCCCTCCATTGACTCTTTTAAATCAAGGCTAAAAACGTTCCTTTTTACTAAAGCTTTAGCGTCCTCCTGATGTTGCCTTTGTGTTTATTTGTGCTTTGATCTATGTTGGTTGCTGTTTTTAAATGTGCTTTATAAATAAATTTGACTTGACTTGACATACTGTGTGGTTCCCAACTGGTCCAGCCACTGGTCCAGATTTCTCCTTAGTCATTAGTTCAAGGTCCACACAGTTTAATACATTAAGCGTTATGCTTGCATTTGGCCATGTCGTCGAGCTAGTTTGCTGTCTCTGTCAAGTAGTTGTCCATTGGCCACTCTCTCTCAACAGCTGGAAACGGCACTTAAAAATAAAACCTCTGCACCAGAAATTCACTGTACTTAAAAATAAAGTGTGTTTTTTCCAAACTTGAAATGTTAGCAACTCACTTGCGTTCTATTCAGGATATGCCCACGACCCACTTTTGGAACACAACCCACCAGTTGGAAACCACTGCTGTAGATAACTAGATAACTATGCTTTGAGGCGCAAGCAACAGACATCCCACTTATCCCACTATAAGAATGGTTCGTTTAGCCTCATTCAGTGAGTATAGCTGCCAGTCTGTGTAGACTTGAATCCGATTCAGTCACTTCTCATTTACTTAGAGTAGCAGGCAGCGTGAGCAGTACCATACAATAACAGCGAGAGGCAGGTGGGGAAAGTTGGGGATTTGTGAACACGCAGACGTTCAACACTTTGACCTGGTACATCACAGATACTAAAACGACTCGTTCAAAAGTTTGTTTGTTCATTTCTGCCCATCGCTATTTTTAAGAGGTAGAGTTTACCCTCTATAACTGGTTCAGGAAGTTATTACACTTAAAGTGAGATATGTCACTTTTTTAAAAAAACAAATGAAACGACACATTCTGCATCTTACAAATGGAAAGTTAAATTCATAAGCTCATTTTAATACAATACATTCAGACAGTTTGCTGCTAGCCTTACTTGGTCTGATATGTCCAGTGGCTAATGTTAGCTAATGTTAGCACACCTTTGGTAGATATATTGCTGTGCAACTGAAATTAGTGAGTCAGTTTGTTGACATTATGACTGCAACTTTTACACTACATTTTAGTATTTACCATTAGCCCAAATGTGGACGTTGTTGCCACAGTGGCTGCTGTTCAGCAAAAGTTACATGTTAGGCTTTAAAGGTCCAATGTGTAGAATTTAGCGACAGCTAGCAGTCAAACTTTCCCATGTGCCAAGCGTGTAGGAGAGTGAAAATGTAAATGGCCCTTATTAGAACCAGTTTTCAGTTTGTCACTTCTGGGCTACTGTAGAAACAGCATGGTAGACTCTGTGAAAGAGGACCCTGTCTGTAAACAGCCCATTCTAAGGTAACAAAAACATAATTCTTAGTTTCAGGTAATTACCCACAAATGAAAACATTGTTATGAAAATGATATATTTAATTTCTATCCCCCTAAATTCTAAACACTGGACCTTTGAGAAAAAAAGTGAAAGTGAGGCTCAATTCTTAGTAAGTTCACCATGTTACATATACGTGCTTTCATTGAACTTGACAAGCCCAGCTCACCTGCTTCAGGTGGTCGCTCGCTCCACACACTGACTGCTGCGTTGTCAACCCTCACTGTGAAACACATAGACACACATCAGGTCATAAGAAGGGCTGCCAAACCCAGACTTTAATTACACTGTAAAAATTCTGCACTAATTAGAATAAAGAAATTTACCGTAATGGGTATAGGTAACAGGTTAACAGTAAAATGACACATTACGGAGCCACCTGTATAAGAATCACCTGACATCTAGTAGTTGTGTCTTATTCTTACAGGAACTTTTGAGTAAAAACACATATTCACTTTCATGCTGAGTTTTATTGTAAGATTGATACCACTCTTTAGTCTATTTGCTAAATATGAAGTTACTGCCAGCAACCAGTTAGCTTAGCTTAGCATTAGGACTGGAAACAACCCAACTCTGTACAATGTCAACTTTGATAATGTGTTTTATCTTGTTTGTTTGATCCATACATAAAACAAAGTGTAAAAATTTAAAGCTGTGGTTTTAAGGGGGGGTCACATCATAGTCAGGTCATTCTTCTCAAGTAACTCTCAACAAGCAACTACACATATTTCCCAAAATGTCCAACTATTTTTATATTACCAAAAGTCTGAGATCAAGATTATAATCTGTGTTTAAAGCAATAACGAAGAGATGAGATACACATCCCTACAATTTGGCCTGCAGCTTTGTTGCTTCTAAAATAAAACCAGTAACAAAGGAGCAGATTTCAAGTCTTCATCTGGTACATACAGATTTCTCCCACTGCCTTGTGCACAATAGGCTGTTAATTCAGCAGCGGCTGCACAATAAGTTCTGGCTAAAACAATTTCCCATTGCAACTTCCCAGTTGGTAATGTAATCTCACACACAACTTGAGCAAGGCTTACGTGATTAATTTCCTCCACCTGCTGCTTGCATTCAAACTTGCCTGGTTTGAAACATAATAAGCCCCACCCTCCCTTACACCACCAGTTTTATCAACACTGAACCCCCCCACAACCTGCTCTGTGCCAACATAGGAAGTTTTTTGCAGGCTCTATTGTTTCAACTTTACAAGGAAGTCTCTGGTGTGTGTTCTGTTTTAGGAAATGAATCAACCTCATGTTATGCTGGTATTCTTGGGCCTGTGCTTAGACAAATACTGTAATGGAAAGCTTAATTCAGGCATGATCATAATAAACATGTTCTTTGACTTAACATTTTGTGCAGTATAAGACTTTTTAAGCATATAAAGTTAGCCTCAGGTACAATAACTGAAGCAAAATGAATGGTTCTGACACACTTCTAAATAAAACCAACATCTTTATTCTACAAGTGTCTCAACCAAAAATATACACACACATTTCCTGTGATGGTGATAAAATGTATATACAAATCAATCTGTCCCCATACCCATTTAAAGGAACAGTGTGTAAGACTTAGGGGGGATTTTAGCAGCATTTAGCAGTGAGGATTGCAGATTACAACCAGCTGAAACTTCTCCTGCATAAAATTCCTACAGTGTTCCTTATTCAGTAGGTTTTTACCAAGAGCCAAATTATCTTCAGAGGTCTCTTCTTCTCCAAAACAAACAGACCCGATGATTGAAACAGGTAAAAAAACAGTGAATAAAGCAGTTTCATTTTTACAAATCAGTGTGTCTTGGGTGCTGTTTGGCACAGCACCTTTTCCTCTGATAACTTAAGATCTAGATGTTAGGGAAGTTTTTACTTGCTTATGATTAAGTGATTATTGTGGACGAGGACCCACTCCCTATGTCAATATAAATGGCTCATTCTCAGGTAATGAAACAACAATTTTTAGTTTAAGGAGATTTTACACTAAAGAAAACATACCTATTATATTACATTTCTGCCAATATATCCCCCTAAATCCTAAACACTGGGCCTTAAAACATGCACATCAGACAAACAGAGCAGTTGTAACAATAAAAGACATGGAATCACACAGACATGGTGATGAAAGAAACAAAAGGACAAAGACAATAATGTTAAGTATAAAATCAAAGGTCATCTAGATTGCAGGAGGAGGGGAGAGGGAGCAGCGGGTCCTGATGAGGAAACTCATCAGTGAAGAAAATGTCCAAATCCTACAACACTTGACATCACAAGCAGGATTACTGTCTCTTCAGTTCCTTTGCATTCTTGCTCTCAAAGTCCTTTCTTTGAAATTCCTTTTCTTTAAAAGTTAAAAAAAAAAGTCAAATTCAAGTCCCGCCGATTGTGGGGCATCTCTACACTGTGGCTGGGATACTGTAGCTGCTCCTGTTGCTGATGTCAACGGGAAGCGACGCCACGCTATCTCGCGCCCCATTGGTCACTCTCCCCTCCTTGCCATCATAGAGTGGCGCTGCGTCTGGAAGAAGATGATAATGGGTGCTCTAAGCAGTTTGCAACAATTGACAATCACTGCCATGTACCATGATTTAACTACTTAAGCAGCTTCTTCCTGCATAAACACAGCTTGTACCTCAGAGGGTTCACTTCCTACAAAAACTGCATTCTAACAACATCCTACTTTTCCTGCCTCTGCAAAGACATACTTAGACACAAACACACTGTACATGCAAACAGTCAGAGATAGATGAAGACAATACACTCAAACATACACATGTTGTACGTGCACATCAACTTGATCAGGAAATCTATAACTGAAAGCAAAATAGATGGTTCTATAAACAGAGGTAGCCGGGTCACCACAACATGGGCCCTGCATGCATATTAGAACATGGATGATGGGATGAGTTGCTGTGGCTACAACAAGAAACATGCTATGACTTTTGAGGCGAGAGAAATGACTCATGGCTGTTAAGATGATGACTAATGAGGATAGTCAGTGGTATACAGATGAATAGTAAAACCGAGCTACCTGTGGCTGCGTTATAAACCTCTGTGTTGTGGGTTAGATTCACTGTTAAAGAGTCATCTGATTTAGGGCTCGAAGGCTTTCTGAGAGATGGTGAAAATAAAGTCAGCTCGGGCGGCAATGAAGTCAAGGAAAAATCTACTCAATGCCAAAATTATCTAAAGCATTAAAACTATATGCAATAAAGTCTGCTACACGCTAATAATGCACTTCAATAACCATACTGGTGGTCCTTAAGTTTGGGAGTTTTTGTACTTTTTATGTATTCCTTCACTTTAATTCTGCCAAACAACTCTTTTTATTTAACAGATAACAAACCTCTAACAGTGAAAGAGGTGGGACCAAGTCATTGTTTTGCAAGTCACGAGTAAGTCTCCAGTCTTTGCAGTCAAGTCCTGAGTCAAGTCCAAAACCAAGACAGGCAAGTCCCGAATCAAGTCCAAAGTCCTAAACTTTGAATTCCAAGTCCTCAGCAAGTCATAATTTGTTCTTACCAAATGTAACACCATTTTAACAGCAGACAATGTATTAAATTTACATTCATTCAACATATATGGCTCTCCCACAACTTATAGATAACATCACCACAGCATTGGGCAATAATACATTTGCAACTGGCATATTCTTGGACTTTTCAAAAGTGTTTGATATGGTAACCTCACCATTATGGCTTTCAGCATGTGGTTATTAGCTGGCTTAGTAATTAGCTTGGGAACAGAGATCAATATGTATCTATAAATGGTTGTATCTCAAATAAAATCAACTATATTGTGGAGTGCCTCAAGGCTCTATACTTGAGCCTCTTTTACATAAAAATGACTTTACCTGGATGTCTGATACTACATTACCCACCCTCTTTGTTGTTATTACTAATATTGTCCTGTCACAAGCAAACTTTTGTTCCTTGGTAAGAGAAACCAATTATACCCTGCCATTTACTGGAAAATGGTTTAGAATGAACAAATTTTCTAAATGTCAAAAAATCTAATTTTGTATTTTTCAGCAATAAAAATAAAAGTCGCTCAAAGGAAGATGCTAAACTATTCATCAATAACATTGAAATCAATCCAGTTACTTCTGCAAAATTCTTAGGTGTATTAGTAGATGAACAACTGTCCTGGAAAGACCACATTGAGTAAGTGAGAAAAAAACTATGAAATCTTTTGGCATCATTAGAAATCATTATGTTTTAGCATGTTTCATGTCTGAATGAAAGAAAACCATTATTGATACAGGTAATTAATAGATTTCTGGCATAGTTTTTAAATAACATACTTTCTAAGCTTTGGGTTTGGAGGAAGGTATCAAGTATTTTCAAGTCAAAAATGCTCAAGTCCAAGTGAGGTTACAAGTCATTGGTGTTTAACTCCAAGTGGAGTTGCAAGTCTTTTTTGATTTTGCCAAGTCGAGTCTAAAGTCATCAAATTTGTAACTCGTGTCTAAGTCATGTGACTCGAGTCCACACCTCTGACCTCTACTTGTTTATTTTTTTTTAGAGATTTACAAGACTTGGCAACTGGAACACTGTAATTTCCCTTAGGCTTAATGAATTAAATGCATTACATAATATCCTTTATTGCTTTCTTCTAAGTCAGAGAAGTAGATGGATAGCACTCTAGTCTGTGTTCTGAAGAGGTGGAACCAAGTCATTGTTTTACAAGTCACAATTAAGTCGCAGGTCTTTGCACTCAAATCTTGGGTCAAGACAGACAAGTTCCATATTTTCAAGTTAAAAGGCTCAAGTCCAAGAGAGGTCACGAGTCACTGATCCAAGTCAGGTTCCTAGTCTTTTTTAATTTTGTTGAGTCTAAAGTCATTAAATTTGTGACTCAAGCCTGACTTGAGTCCAAGTCATGTCACTCAATTCCACACCTCTGGTGTATCTTACGTTATATGAGAAACTGGAGTTTGGAGACGGGGCTCTGTGCCCAGGTAATCTGCAAACTAGCACCTTCAAATATCAATAATTAACACCTGTTTTGTTTGTTTAATGCACACAAAAACCCAAATTTAAAAAAATATATAATCTACAGAAGGTTATGCCACTATTTCTTGGCTGGGTTTACAGTACAGTCATGCAAAATAACCAGTATGGTTCATTAAAAGCTATCAAACACTCACAGACCCTCAACTATGCCAGCTAATAAAACTAGATAAACTGTAACTAACTTCTACAGTATCTTTCACATTCAGAGGGAGCAAGTAGTCGAGCCAACTCACACTGACAATTCAGCAGCTGCTTCTCTTTGACCTACAATAAGAGAGGAGAGGTGAGGAGGGGAGCAGGAGGATGTAGGTGGAGGAAGGTTGGTTTTCATACATAGTTAGACATAAGAGGCCTGAGTTGCTGGAGGACTGTAGGTCTCTCTACCTCTCTTGGATCTGAAGCACAGCACAGCCACCACTACCAACACAATCACCGCCAGCAGACAGAAGCCCCCGATCACCGCTTTCTTCCATAAAGCCTGGCGCACTATGGAGAGTGATAGAGAGACAGAAAGAAGAGAAAGTCAGTGACAAACCGGAACACATGGGGAAAGAAGGGGAGCGTAAAAAAAGGGACAGGATGACAAAGATTGTCCATGACAGAGAAAAGAAGAGAAGAATAAAAAAGGTTTGACAAGATACACAAAGGGCACAAAGGGATTTACAAACAAACAAATTGGTGTGTTTTTTTTCAAAGTCAAGGAAGGATCCTTAAATGGCTGCATTTCAAGGAGGCTACACCAATGAAACCTGCCCAAGGACTGTTCCATTGTCAAGGATCCTTCAGATTCTACTGAGGACTGAGTCCTTCTGTCAGAGAATTTTTAAGTGTGTGTATCCTCAGCGGGCATGAAGTACCCACAAATCTTTGTGCATGATTTGCTGGAATTGAAGGCAGGGCCTCTTCAATGACGTACACCTAGGCACTCTCTAGCCTGTTCCAAAATGTGTTCACTGAATGCTGGGAAGGATGCTTAACTCAACTTGGAAGGACTTGTCCTACCAACGAAGTATCTTTTACTAAGCATTATGTTTTCCCTGATAAGTCCCTTTCTCCATAAATTCTGAGAGACTGACACCACATCCTGCTGTCTACAGCTGTAGTGGTAGAAACCTAGATTTTTCAGCCTTGCTAGCAGTAAGTCAATCTGTAGGCCAAACACACACATAGTCTGCACTTGTTGTAAGCCAGCTGTAGCTGTAACATCTGAGCAGTCTAAGTGATTGACTGCTTTTTGAGACCAAAACCATACTGCTAAAAGTGAGTGAGCCATCAAAAATGTATCTCAAGATAAGATATAATTTGGATGAAAAGCATTGAAGCACTGACCTCTGTTGGGAGCTGGTTAAACTTTACTATGCAATAGTTACACAAGTCAAACTTTGTGTCTTCATGCTTAGCCAGTTCTCTTTATACATCCATGGTGTATCCTGCTGGCTAGCTAAGTGAAGTGTAGCACCCACCTTTGGCCAACAGTGTTACCTGCAGGTATCAATGTTATCTTTGTAACAATGTTAGCTTTGTCAGCACTTTTACCATTGTTAGCACTGTTTATTGAGTTAGCACTGTTAGCTGCTAGCTGCAGACTCAGCCCCCTCCATGTTGAGAGCCATGTACAGACAGTCTCACCCCAAACTTTGAATCATAGATATGCCCTGAATGTCACATTTAATTTCAGTCTCTGAGGGGAAAATTATTTTTAGTAGCCCCAGAGGTTAGGGTCAGTCACAGAACAGCAGGTCAGGAACAGGTGGGGTCCCTATTGACTGTTAATACCCATCAGTCTCACCCTCTATGGTGACCCGGTCACTGCGGACTTTGTTGGCGTGGTTGAAAGCCTCGCAGTAGTATGTGCCACTGTGCTCTTTGGACAAAGTGGGGACCTGGTAGTCTGTGTTGTTCTTGTTGGAGGTGGTGGTGTACAGCGGTTGTTCGTGGCCATCACGGTACCACTTGAAGGTTACCGGTGGAGTGCCTTTAACACCACATATGAGGTAGAGATGATCTCCCTCAGAGATTTCTGGTAGATGGGGAATGACGGTCAGGGTTGGCTGCGTCAGAGGCACTGGGAGAGGAAGAGGTGGAGTAGAAGAGGTGAGATTAGTCAGCACTGTATCAATTATAAACTGAGATTACAAGAAACATAACAAGAGATTAATCACAGTTTTTTGTATTTTGTATCAGTTAAATTGTACAATGAAATAATGGCAAAGGTCAATCATGACCTTGACAACAGGAGCTGGAAAAACTGTTTAATGACAACCTGGGTAATTCCATCTATTAAGAAAGGATGTGTGGTTCAGTCTAAAAGCTCCAGACCAGCTTCTCAATGGACTTTGATCTGAGATTGTTTTGTTAGTTGTAAATATATATATATATATATATATATATATATATATATATATATATATATATATATATATATGTGTGTGTGTGTGTGTGTGTACATGTATATATTGAGTTATATGCCCTTTAATAAAACTGATATAGATCTGCAGTGTCTCATCAAAACTATTTCCATGTAGTTATCCCCTCAGTGATATTCATATCAACCATGTAAAGATGGATTTACCTGTGACGTTAGCGTTGAGTCCTCCACTGCGCACACCATCCCGGATCTTGTGACTATTCTTTGCTCTGCACATGTACTCACTGATTTCATCAGGCTTGGTGATGTTGACTGTGAAGAGAGCTTGTTGAAAGGGCAGCTTGACAACAATTGTGCTCAAGTCGGTGTATCCCCTAATCAGCGTGTAGTTTATTGGCAGGCTGCCAATTTCCGACTGACAGAGGATCTTGATGGGCTGTCCTAGGACTGCCCTGCCGACCACTGTGATCTTTGGAGCGGAGACAGAAACTAAAGAGGAGAGACCGAAAAATAAAACACAATGACTGCTTGTAGACAAATCCTATTAAGCAAAAACAAAAGCCCTGATTACACGTGGAATACATAACCTAACTGGCTTCATGTTTTTTGTCATTCAGATATAGGTGAATTCTATTTGCTCTGTTCAGTTACTATTATGGTATGAAACACAATACTTGCACAATATTTGGCACCTAGTCTGCAAGAGGAAGCTGAGTCACTTTTAATAGGCACTGAGCACCCCGTTCTCTCACAGTGAATCCCCTTACAAACCTTTATCATCAGTGTCATCCAGTAACATTATTAGACTAAATTCTGCTGCCTATTTTATACTGCCCGACAAGATGTCAGAATTATAAGATGTTAACTTGTGACTTAAAACTGTAATAACAGATTTTTTTGCCACTCGGGGGCAGAGGAAATTAGCCATGTAGACAAAACTGACATATTCGCACTTTTTGAGTTGATAGAGCAACACATTCTCAATCCAACCTTGTTACATAAAGACATTTGGTCAAGGACTTCCAACGTCAACATATGAACAAGGTACCCTGGGTGCATTGGTTCTGTGACACCGTGTCAACTTCAACCCGTTACATGCATTGTCTGTTTTTAAAATACACTTTCATTTTCATAGGAAATGAACAGTTTGCATACAGTCTCTTTCAAAATAAATGCGCTATGTCGGTACAGCACGGCAAATTGACAATATTTTCCTTCAACAACAAACGCATGTGGTTACGTTTAGCCAACACATGCACGTGGTTGGGTTCAGGCAACATAGGGACATGGTTGGGTTTAGGACAAAAGAACTGGTTTGGCTTTACGTTCACATGGGTGAATGCCGGCCTCCCAGGTGAAAGTTGGTGGTTGTTGGACCCATTCACCATCCATCTAGCTCCCCCACTTGGACTTTTGCCCCCTTAACTTGCATTGTTGTCCTGACGCATTTCAGCGCAATACAGCAACCGGCTTCGTATCAGAATGGCAGTGGCTTACAGCGTGAGTGTTTGTGAAACATACAATAATATCTGCTATGATGGCGTTTTTGGTAGATAGCGGAAGGAAGCTCCAGCCTCTGGTTTGCATCCAAAAACTGCACATTCAACTGTTTGCTGTCAGACCTTTTACCATGCTAATTCTAACTCTCTCTTTCTGACAAGTTGCACTCTGTACTGAAAGTTTCAAGTTTCTTGTGTTGTGTCCAAGTCTGTTCTCCTTTCGATATGTTTCCCACATTAGACAGCGATTTGCTTTCATGTTATTAACATACCTAATCTAGCTGCCAGGTATACACTTGAATCTCAGATTTTAGGGAAGTGCACAGACATTGCCCCCTTAGAGGAAATGTGAAAACATCTCTCTAGTAACAAGCTTTGCACAGATACAAGTCAGTATAGTCAAGGTCAGACAATTAAGGGGCCATAAGACTTTCCTTTTTAATATAAGCATATAGTTAGGGCTGGCTCAGGGTTGTCTTGGTCCAGCCCCTAGTTAGGCTGACATGGGCCTAGTCTGCCAGGGGACCTCCTATATAATACACAGAGCACCTTCTCTCCTTCTCTCTCTCTCCTTAGTTTCTGAAAAGTTGGTTCTTCTTCATTTGCCAACATTCATGTCCTATTACTGCATATCGCTAACTTGGCTTTACTGCATGTCACTAACTCGGCTTCTTCTCCAAAGCCTTTGCGCTCCACTGTCTTGCAGGTTCCCTCGTATCACAGCTACGCCTGGTTCATGGGTCGTAGTTGTGCTGCTGCTGTAGTAGGAGGCATCATCATTACTGTCTGCCCTGCATCTCTCTCTGACTCTGTCTCTCTCGGTCTCTCATTCATATCATTTTGTCATATGGATTACTGCACATTTATAATGTTGATCTGTTCTGTACGACATCTATTGCAAGTCTGTCCATCCTGGAAGAGGGATCCCTTCTCAGTTGTTCTTCCTGAGGTTTCTACCGTTTTTTTCCCCTTTCAAGGTTTTTTTTGAGAGAGAGAGAGAGTTTTTCTGTATCCGCTGTGAGGGTCCTAAGGACAGAGGGATGTCGTATGCTGTAAAGCCCTCTGAGGCAAATTGTGATTTGTGATATTGAGCTCTATAAATAAAATTCGAATTGAAGTGAATAAGAAGAGAAGAGCGGGGCTTTAAGTTCAAATTTAATTCCTGTTTGGTCACATGTGGTTTATCAAGCGTTTTGCTGGATATTCAGCGATACAGCATCCTATGGGTGGCATGAATAAAAAGTAAAAAAATATAGAGAGGACATCTAATTACTCCTATAGCTGCACAAGTTGTTGTTTTTGTTACTTCTTTTCTCTCACACTGTGAGGGGAAAAACTGACTAATCTGATGTGAGAAGAATCTCCTCATGGTATGCTCATATGTAGTGTTTTGTGGATAATTAAACAAATAATAATAGATAATAAACTCTTACAGTGTTGTTAATAAGGCAAATGACATTTACATTTAATAGCTCTCTGTGCTTATTTGAAAGAATACTTTGACATTCTGGGAAATACTAAGAAAATCCAGGAAATACAACTTGCTTTGCTTTTTTGCCCACAGAGAAAAGTTAGATAAGAAGAACTATATCACTCTCATATCTGTACACAACCCTTGAAGCTGGTTAGCCCATCTTAGCATTAGTTTCACCCTTACCCCCCTTACAGTGTTGACTTGCCTTGTAGGAATTGAGGGTATTCAGACACGAGGCTAAAATGGAGAACATGGGGGTCTGTGGCTAGATGTGCAATGGAGTAGATGATTGTTTAGACAGCTCCACATATAATCGTTTTAAACACAGATTTCTTTGGACTTTACAACCTGAACTTTGCACATGATGCCTCCTAAACCTGTCCCCAAGAAGAATGAGAAAACTGCACCCAAAAAAATGATACTGGACATGTGTTTGAGCGAAAGAAAAACAGATGCGCTAGAGAAAATCCACGAGGCAAGCCCTGCAAAAATGGAGGCTGGCTTTACATCAAACATCAAAGGAACCTTCGCCATCAGACCTGCTTCTTGCTATCACAAAGTTAGACAAAAACCTAGAAGCCAAGTTTGTCGGTCTTTCATCTCAAATTCAAAAGCTTCAGTCAGATGTCATGGAAACCAGAAAGCGTGTCCTGTCGCTTGAAACTGGTGTCAACAACCACGACACCCAGCTGGGTGAGTTGGAGTCGCTCTGTAGCTCCCTCAAGTAAAACACATGAAAGCCAAACTAGAAGACCTGGAATCCAGATCAAGACGACACAATAGCCTTATGGTCGGGATCCCTGAGGGTGTCGAGAGAGGGCAACCCACAGAGTTTAATATGGAGCTGATACCGTCTCTTCTGGGAAAGGAACACTTCGGCACGGAGTTTATAGTTGACCCTGCTCACCGGTCTCTTGCCGCCTGACCTGCCGACAGTGTCCCTCAGAGATCTCTCATTGCCAGGCTACACTACCAACAACACCAGGACCTCGTCTTGAGGCATCTGATACAACAAGAAGAAGATCTCCTTTTTTCCAGACCTGACCCAAGAGGCCATGCACTAAACAATAACGTAAACAATTTGACACCGTTAGGGAGAAATGTAAAGCGGCTAAAATCCACTATGGCTTTCTGCATCCAGCTCGCTTTAAGATGATGGTGGATGGCACATCGCACACATTAACCAACCCAAATGATGCTGAACCTTTCCTCGCCACACACCGTGAGGCTTTTGTTTTTCTGGCAACCTGTATTTTCTTTATACATATTGTGATGCCACCTAAATCACCAGTAGCTCAAGCACATTGGGATAGGTACAAAATGGTGAGCTGGAATTTTAGAGGTTTGGGCCATATTATAAAATGTGCCAAGGTTTTCTCACAATTAAAAGCTCTGTCAGCAGATCTACTGTTTCTACAGGAAACGCATGTGAAATACAAGTTTAAAGATAAACTAAAGGTCAGTTGGATAGATGAGATTTACCAGTCTAACTTCAATGCCAAAGCAAGGGTTGTGGCAATATTGTTTAGGAAAAATATCCCCTACATTCACTCATCTACAGTATCTGATCCTGACGGGAGGTATCTTATTGTATCTGGCTCTTTGAACTCTGTACCAGTTACACCTGTGGATCTATATGGCCCTAACTTTGATGATCCCATTTTTTTTTTTTTCAAAAGGTTTTCAATGCCATACCAAACTTTTCAGACAATATTGTGATTGGTGGAGACTTTAATTGTATAATTGATCCTCTCTTAGATAAACAATTTACAAAAACACTTCAACAATCAAACTCTGGCATTCACCTAAAAACACTGATGGAAAGTTTAAATTCCAGTTCACAAAACGTGCTCCTGTATAGATAAATTTCTCCTTGATTCTAAACTGATTTCAGTAGTTGATAAAATAATGTTCCACCCCATTCTAATATCCAACCACGCCCCACTATCCATGACGATAAAGTTAGGTGAACAGATACTTCAGAATGGACAATGGCATTTTGACGCAATGCTGTTAAAAGACAAACACATTCCGCATTTCTTTTCTGAAAATGATACTGGCGATGGTAATGATTCGAACTTATTGGAATCTCTGAAGGTAGTTATTAGGGGTTATATAATCCCATTTGTAGCCAACAAAAAGAAAAACGATGACAGTCGTCTTATTGAACCGATTACAGATATTGCAAAACTGGAAACCTTATATAAAGCAAATCCTTCTGACGCAACTTTGGAGGCAATCACCAAAATGAAATTTGAACACAACACCATCCTAACAGAACATGTTGACTCCATGCTCTACAACACACAACAAAAATACTTTGAGTTTGGTGATAAGCCACACAGCCTGTTGGCCAGACAGCTAAGGCATACACAAGCCTCCCATGCCACTTACAAAATCAGAGATTAAAAAGGCAAGTTGACAACATCCCCAAGTGAGATTAACAAAGCTAAATGTACTGTTGACTCTGACACTATTAACAAGTTTCTGGCAAACTGCAACCTTCTCACACTAGATGCTGGGGCAGTGCAGTCTCTAGACACTGAGCTCACTCTAGAGTAGATTAAGACTGCCATTATTCAGTTCCCGAATAACAAATCCCCAGGTCCAGATGGATTTAGCATTGAATTTTAAAAATCACCTTTATCTAATTTTGGCCCATAACTTTTACAGATGCTAGAATATGCAAAAGAAGCCTCTGTACTACCAAATTTGCTCTATTATACTGAAAAAAGATAGACCCTTTAAATATGTCTTCCTACCGCCCTATATCCTTGCTCCAAATGGAAATGAAGATTCTGAGTGAAGTGCTGTCAAACAGACTGAGTAACCACATTCACAAACGTACACGCCCCGACCAAACTGGATTTGTACCTGGCCATCACATCTACTCAAATCTACACCACCTTTTTGATATAATGTATCACAACCACAAAGCAGAGGGTGTGGTCATCGCCTTAGATGCAGAAAAGGCATTTGACCATATCGAATGGGAATTCATGCTGTCTACTCTACACCGCTTTGGCTTTGGCAACTTGTTCATAAATTGAATTAGGATCATCTTCACCCAACCTCCTTACCAACGGGGAGATATCACAGCCATTTTACCTACATAGAGGCATCCTACAAGGCTGCTCGTGCTATGCATTGAAGTCTTTACCAGTGAGATCAGAACAAACCCTGATTATAACCCTATTCAAATACATGAAACGAAACATCATCTGTCACTTTTTGCAGATGACATAACTTTGTTCTTATTGAGTCCCAAAATTTCTCTCCCTCCTCTTCTGCATTTAATTGAAACTGTCAGAGGTCTTTCAGGGTATTCTATTAACTGGGATAAGAGCGAATTACTTCCAATATCAGATAATGTAGACTCAGAGTTTCTAAGCACAATGCCATTCAGAATTGTAAATAACCAAATTAAGAGTTTGGATATTATTGCAACCTGGAAATATGGTGATCTCCTAAAGTCCAATTGGGAAAACAAGATCCAGCGATTGAAGAGAAATATTTAAAATTGGAATACACTGGCAATTTCTTTAGTCAGTTGCATCAGTGCCCTAAAAATGGTTATGTTCCCCAGATTCTTGTACATCTTTCAATGCTTGCCAGTCCATATACCATTAAACTACTTTAAGAAATTGGACTCTATCATCTCAGCATTTATATGGAACAGTAAAGTGGCCAAAATATCAAAGAAACATCTAGAGAAGGATAAGTTCAAGGGTGATTTTTGCCTCCCTCAGTTTAAATTTTACTATTGGGCCACAAACCTGAAAGTTTTATACCTTTGGCATAATAGCTCTTTGACAGATTCCACCATGCCTGCCTGGCTTCAGATTGAACCCGCAGACTGTGGGTATACTTCTCTTCCTGCACTTTTAAATAATCCAGCGAAGGTAAAGATTCCATCATATATAACTAGCCAGATTATTCTAAATACGTTAAGAATATGGAAGCAATGGATATGAATATGGAAGCAGTCCTTTCTGTTTCTACCCACAGTATACACAGATAGCCCTGTCTGCTTAAAAAAACATGCTTTTCCTCCAGGTTTGGTTGATCCAATTTTTTCTGTTTGGAAAGACAAACATATTGCCATAATTGGAGACTTATATATTGAAGGGAAACTGTCATCCTTCCAACAACTCCAGCAGTTTCATAGTCTACCTTCAACACACTTTTTTAGATACCTCCAATAAGAATTTATAGACTCACTTACCACAATATCAAAACAAGCCTAAACACACCACACTTGACAACTTTGCCCATCATGACCCTAATAGTAAGGGGTCTGTCTGTCTCTTTTCTGTATTCATCCTTGCAAGCCCATGATATATTGTCTGATGCCAAACTAAGGAATGCTTGGACAGAAGAGCTGGGTACTGAAATCACCAATGATACTTGGTAGGAAATTCTCATCAAGATATATAACAGTTCCATAAATGTTAGACAGCAGACTTATACAATTCAAGATTGTACATAGACTCCACTACACAAAAGCAAGACTTCATGGTATATATCCCAACATCTCCCCCTTGTGTGATAAATGCAAACAGGACACAGGCACGCTTACCCATCAACTATGGTTGTGCCCCAAGCTTTACTCCTTCTGGTTGCTTATATTCGACTGTATATCAAAGGTTTTTCTCGTCATATTTAGGCTACCTGTGATCTCTGTCACTGATAATCACTCTGCTCAGGCTCTCTTTCTCTGTACTCTGCTAGCAAAACGCCTCATTTTACTACATTGGAAGTCAGTATCCAGCTCCTCTTTCCACCAATGGCTGAGGGAGCTTGGCAACGCGATTCATATGGAGGGCCTTTGATATAGACTGGCCAACAAGAAAAAAAATCTTCCTGAAAAACTGGAAGCCATTTCTCAACAAATGGTCTGCAACCCAGCAGAAAGGGATTGACTCATATCCTACTCTCTTGACGTTAGGTGACTAGGGCCTATCCATGGTGCATCACACCCTCATTTTTGTAAGAATTTGGTTGCCAGGGTGTCTGTGTTTTATTGTTTGTTTATTCCCCCACACACTTTATCTATTTATTTATTTATTTATTTATTTATTATTATTTTTTAGTGTTTGTCACTTTATTGTTCTCTATATTTGTCTCAACTGGACATTACTTTATGTTGCCTTTGGGTGGCATTCAGATTGCTGTCTTTGCAATGTGCACTTATCTGTCCTCAAAAATGTCTAAAAGGGGCTTAACTTTATCCTGAAAATTTGCATCTGAAAGAGGTATTAGGTCATCTTACCTTTGGGACGTACAGTGAGGATTTCACTATGTTTCACAATGCCTTTGGCTTGAGCTGCACAGGTATAGTTGAAATCATGCGACAGGGCATTGCCAGCAAATACTCCATGTCCTTTAGGGATCAGTGGGCTTTCAGGTGGATCAAGAGTGTAAGTCAACTCTTCCCTGCTGAGTCTCTCAGAGGCAGTGCTCTCACTTTTGCAGGTTAGTGTCATATATTCCCTTCGAAAGACTTCAGTAGGAGACATGGTGAGAGTGGGCACTGAAAACAGCTCTGTGGATGGATTAATAAAGAAAAACAATTATTTGAATTGATATCACTTAATAGTGTAATGCTGATATGTTTGGAACTTATAACCAACAAAATGTAATAAAAGATTAGCAGACAAATCAAAACAAATTGTTAAATAATGCAGATTAAAATGGCAAATAAGTACAAAGTTCTTTTTAATCCTCCAATCAGTTGATGAATTTATAATTTTATTCTTTTATTTGTTTCACTTGGTCATTTTAGTTTTCAGTCTTCTTGCTCTGTCTCTCTGTAGACTTGGCACACATATGATCCGTTATCTATTTCTTATTTTTCTCACCAACCGAGGAAGTTAAGCCTTTTAAGCAGTTTGTTATGTGTCTGTTTCTTGAGTGTTTTAAAAGAGTGGGTAGAGAGAGTGCCGGTGGAAATTTAACCACAGAACCCAGGCATATTGTAGCCCTACCTCCCCTTTTATGAATTGTGGCATTGTTGTATTTAACGAATAAAGATGATCCTGTCATATTTTGCATTCATGTATCCTGTGATTATTTAACAGTTCTGAACAATCATAAATCCACATCCTTTAGTGATACTTATTGTTCGCTCAATTCATTAAACAGCCATACACCCGCAGTAACAGCAATGTAAACCCCAATCCATCCATGACACAAAATTTTAATGTTAAGTCTAAACAAATGCCCCAGATTGTCAAAAAGACATAAAAACTTTATATTCACTTGACACAAAAACTCATCCCTTGTGAACTTGACATACATTTTTTATGTTAAGTCAATAAGTTTTGAGTTTTGCCGTTGAGACATGGGCACTGCAGTTAGAGCTACAGGCTACAATAAGGCTAAAAACAGAGTTCAAATGACGTTTTTCCAAACAACTTTTTGTGTCGGAGCTTCAGGACACTTGGATCACTATGGACGGGCAGTATGGAGATACCTTGTGGTTTCAATTATGTGTTTTTTTGGACGTTTTAATCTGGTGCGCCGTCAGCCTCCATTAGGTGGAGTTGTGCTGCTACCCACTCTCCCCTGGGATCTCTGCAAGGGATGTGAGGACTCTAAAACTTCTCCTGAGCCTCCCTCAGCATATGGGTGAGTAGATAATGGCTGAATTTTCATTTCTGGGTGCACTATCCCTTTAAGAGAAGTTCATGTTTTGTTCTACGACATAAAATATGTTAGTAAATACCCCACTAATAAATTTTGAGGCCTTAAGGTATTCTATTCTTAAGGCAGCTGCTAACAAGTGGCTAAATGAGACTACAGACCGTCATCAAGCAGATCACAGCTGTACACCCTCGCTGTGGTGGGGATTTTAAGTCATGCAGCCATGGTGTAGTTTTATGGCCTTTTTACTTCTGACCATTGCATTTATGGTTCAAAAATCATAAAAGTGGTGTTCATTTGTGAAGATTATCTTGCTGTACAAAACGAGTGAATATCATTAACATTTGTTTGCCAAAGAGCTTATTTTCTGCAATAATCCAAAATCCAATGGGAAAATCCCATAGGGTCTTTGAAGAGGGAACCAAGGGGACACTAACCTCCGCGTCAGCCTACAAAAGATTTCATCCTTGCAGCACTCTATAGCCGACCGAACTCCAAACCAACCAGAGATTATTGAGGAAATGAGTATTTTTGAGAGGACTGTGGCTTTCTAACTGAAAACACTGCTATCTAAGCACACAGCACCAGTGACTCTAGCTAGCTACCAAGCCAAAGCCAATTCTATTCATAAAACTACACATGCAATGGTAATTACTCTATGGTATACTTGTAACGGTCAATAAAGCATTTTAGCCAGCAATATAACACTAACAAAAATAGCTTGGATTGGAAAGATGAATAAAAATAAATTTGTTTTTGATCCCTAACTTTAATGATTAAACTAACTTTTTTTTTTATTGATGTTTTAAGTTATATTTCTGATTTGTTTGATACACTTTTAGGATGTTTTGTCAGTTTTGGGGCATCGTAGCTGTAGCCTCTATTAGAATAACAGTGATGCTTAATACTATTAAGATGAAAAACATATCAGTTGTCAGAACACCAATGTATACAGTACAGTCCAAAAGTTTGGACACACCTTCTCATTCAATGCATTTTCTTTATTTTCATGACTATTTACATTGTAGATTCTCACTGAAGGCATCAAAACTATGAACGAACACATGTGGAGTTATGTACTTAACAAAAAAAGGTGAAATAACTGAAAACATGTTTTATATTCTAGTTTCTTCAAAATAGCCACCCTTTGCTCTGATTACTGCTTTGCACACTCTTGGCATTCTCTCCATGAGCTTCAAGAGGTAGTCACCTGAAATGGTTTCCACTTCACAGGTGTGCCTTATCAGGGTTAATTAGTGGAATTTCTTGCTTTATCAATGGGGTTGGGACCATCAGTTGTGTTGTGCAGAAGTCAGGTTAATACACAGCCGACAGCCCTATTGGACAACTGTTAAAATTCATATTATGGCAAGAACCAATCAGCTAACTAAAGAAAAACGAGTGGCCATCATTACTTTAAGAAATGAAGGTCAGTCAGTCTGGAAAATTGCAAAAACTTTAAATGTGTCCCCAAGTGGAGTCGCAAAAACCATCAAGCGCTACAACGAAACTGGCACACATGAGGACCGACCCAGGAAAGGAAGACCAAGAGTCACCTCTGCTTCTGAGGATAAGTTCATCCGAGTCACCAGCCTCAGAAATCGCAAGTTAACAGCAGCTCAGATCAGAGACCAGATGAATGCCACACAGAGTTCTAGCAGCAGACCCATCTCTAGAACAACTGTTAAGAGGAGACTGCGCCAATCAGGCCTTCATGGTCAAATAGCTGCTAGGAAACCACTGCTAAGGAGAGGCAACAAGCAGAAGAGATTTGTTTGGGCCAAGAAACACAAGGAATGGACATTAGACCAGTGGAAATCTGTGCTTTGGTCTGATGAGTCCAAATTTGAGATCTTTGGTTCCAACCGCCGTGTCTTTGTGAGACGCAGAAAAGGTGAACTGATGGATTCCACATGCCTGGTTCCCACTGTGAAGCATGGAGGAGGAGGTGTGATGGTGTGGGGGTGTTTTGCTGGTGACACTGTTGGGGATTTATTCAAAATTGAAGGCACACTGAACCAGCATGGCTACCACAGCATCCTGCAGCGACATGCCATCCCATCCGGTTTGCGTTTAAAACAGAATATAAAACATGTTTTCAGTTATTTCACCTTTTTTTGTTAAGTACATAACTCCACATGTGTTCATTCATAGTTTTGATGCCTTCAGTGAGAATCTACAATGTAAATAGTCATGAAAATAAAGAAAACGCATTGAATGAGAAGGTGTGTCCAAACTTTTGGCCTGTACTGTATGTACAGTGAACACACACAGATCATCTTTCCTCTGTCTACTCACCAGTCACTGAAATCTTTTTTGAGTCAACTTTCACTAAACCCTTCATCTCTACTCTGCACTCAAACTCCCCAGGGTCCTTTGCCAGAGCAACCATGCTGTAGTTCACTTTGGTGTCGCCACTGTTGAGAAGCTGGCTCCCCTGGCTCAGGAAGAGGTGGAGGTTTCTGGTAGAGGTGTCAAAGCCATGCTGACCATTTCTAACTGAGCACAAGATGACAAGTTGGTCTCCTTCATAGATATTGGACCGCGGGAAAATCTCCAAAACTGCTGTGATGGGAAGAGCTGAAGAGACAAAACCAACAAGGAAAAACCACTAAGATGAGTCCAATACTTTGAAAAATACAGACATTTCTAAATGCTACTTACCTTTCACTGACACATTAACAGCGTTGCTTTCCTCGGACTTGACGGAGTCTGGTGTTATGAGGACAGTATAAGCACAGTGAACTTTGTGGATGCCGACACTGCTGAAGTGAAGCTTAGCCTCTGCCTGGTTGGAGTTGACCTGCCTCTCCACAATTTCTTTGTTGTCCTCAAAGAAGTAGAAGAAAATGGAGCCTCTCTCGCTGGGCGCTATACACCTGGCCGTTATCTCCTCCCCTTCACTGAACACATCTTTGTTAAGGTGGAGAACTGGTTTCGACAGGCCTGGAAACCAAAAATGTGAGAGACATACTCAAGTTTAAATCCAAAAGTAAACAAAATTGAAACAGCACCATCTTTTGCAAATGAAATGAAAAAATTCTCCTGCTTGCTGTTGCACATAAATGCAGCAATTTCATTATCTTAATTTTGAAATAATTTTTTGTTCTTACATACATGGGATTTAGAACCATGCCTGTATTGGTTACATTATCATGGCTAAAAAGTGTTAATCATTTAAGGCAAAAATCTCAGATTTCAGTTCAGTATGAAATAAAAATTACTCACACTCACTACAGTTATTGTAGCCTATTAATGTTATCTAAACACTCAAATTCACCTGAACTTCTCAAACCATAACAGATAAAACTGTATCCATGATAACAAACCAACCTGTTACTGTGAGTTTCTTGGCTTCACTGGTCATGTTTTTCCCCTCAATGTTGATCATGCACTTATATTTGCCAGTGTTGGAGACTCTGGCCTCAAGCAGGGGGTACAGGAGATCCTCCGAGGTGCTAGAGGTCTTGGTGTAGACTTTGTTGCCGTCCTTGTATATAGTGTACTCACGACTCAGCGTCTCCTGACCAGTGCTGCTGACGATGGCCTTGCATCTCAGAGTCACGTTAGTGTCCCGAATCACGTCAGTGCTGGGCTCAATGGACAGGGTGATTTCTCTTATCGTGAATACTAGGGAGTGAATTAGAAAATAAATAAATTAGACTTAATGTACAAGCTAATCTATGGTACTGGCAGTGCTCATATCTGGAATATTTTGGCTTTATTTTTGTACAGAAGGGGTAAGTAGGACGCGTCACCCATCTTAATATAAAATCTATGACATGAGGTGTTAGCTTAGAGGTTATTGTCGTCTCCCGTTGAGAGGGGGATTTGAAAAACGGTTACATACAGACAGCAGAGGGAAGTCAGAAGTGAGTGCCCAGTGGCAGGATCATAGCCACAGTCTACATCTAGTGAGTCAGATGACTGTTGTTGGCTCTGTGGACATATTAATGTTGGAGTCCTTTCTTACCTCTCAATAGAGACTATTTCACTCTTCCCCTGTGAACCTCTGTCATATTACACACCTGTTCTATACACTATACACAGCATGTCCATCGGATGGTTACTGTTTTATATCCTGAGGAACTTAAGTGCCCAAAAGTGCCCCAACGTTGACATACAGAAAGAATGTATTGGAGTCATAAGCAAGTAGCTTTACCCTTTTTCATTTGTGCTTTCTCAATCAGAGTTTGGATTGAATAGATTTCCTTTTAATCACTTCCTATTCCCATTTAAATCAGTAATCCCCAATGGCCTTTTTGCTGCCATATTTGAAATGACTGCCGCTGAAATTTCTATTACAGGTGCCATATAATTAAGTATCAGCTTGGCACTCAGGAAGCTGATGTGTTACCATAGAATTGCATCATACCGGGGATGGCATCCCATCAGGGTATGAGACTCACATAGGGAACAATGCATGTGTGCATGACTGTGAAATTCATTGGTAGTCATCTGATGTTAAAAAAACAAAAACAGCGGAAGAAGGCAGATGTAGATAAGGAAGAGCACCATCTATCTCGATGCAGCTGGACCTGATGGAGCAAGCTTTGGTGCTTATCCGGGGTGATTACAGTATAAGCAACTTGTTGAGATGAAGACAGCTCGGGGGGTACCACTGGTAGGTCTCAGGGTTTGGCATCCTTGAGCCATCTCACTAGGGTCTTGACACCAGTGAGCCAGTGTGATCACTGATCTCACAGGTATGAAGTTCAGCTGTCGAAGACAAAAGACAGCCAACCCCAGCTACAGAAATGATGTTACTATGAAGTTGGTTGTTATATTCCTGGATCTCTATGAGTTCTTCCCTTTCAATGACTAAACTTTTTCAATCTCTTCATGTTTGTCAATCATGGTTTACTTTCAGTACACTTTTTTACCCTGAGCCTCATTGTGTCTGGATTGATTTCAGCAGCAGAACTGTGTCATTCACATGGCCACATATGGACGCTTTGCTAATCACCTGAACTGATCCCAGAGCCATGAATCAATTCAAATGCTCATGTGGTTCACAAGCACCAAGAGGTGGAAAATAATGAATGATTCATAAGAGATATTTGCTGTCAGATTCACCAATGTATAAGAGACTGTCCAACATTTTGTCTTTTAGAAAACATTTAGAAGTAACTTTTAAAAGTGACAACTATTTGGCGTTCAGCAGTGCACCCAGACACAGAAAGCACCCTAGCACATCACCCATATGGTCGAGTACTAGAGACAACAGGCTGCTGTAGTGTCTCAGACGAGGGTGTGGGGCTGTAAACAACCCTGGAAAACAAGGGGAAAAAAGGGCAGGAAAAGCACTTTGTCAGACAAACAGGCCACCCGGGGGACCTATCACCATTTCAGAGCCTGCTGAATCTGGCCCACACCCAGCATCATTCAGCAGGAGCTGGCAGGGCTGATGATGAGAAAAATCAGGCGTGCAGAGCAGAGATTTGCTATGGGCTCTCGATACGCCATCTGAGTTATGGCAGCTACACTGAGCCAGTGGTGGAATGTAACTAAGGACATTTAGTCAAGTATTACACTGAGTTGAGAATTTTTTGATACTTTTTTCCCCCCATACTTCTACTACACCACATTTCAAAAGGAAATATTGTACTTTTTACTCCTCTACATTTATATAATGGATATCATTACTTTTCAGATTAAGATTTTACATTAAAAACATTTGATAAGCTAATAAAATACAACACAATATGTAAGATAAAACCAGTTGTCCCCTTACAAAAAAGCAGTGTCTGAGTTATCCGTTCCACCAAATAGTGAGTTTCACTGTTTCTTTTAAAGGAACAGTGTGTAGGATTTAGGAAGATTCTGTGGTGTCTAGTGGTGAGGATTGCAGATCGCAACCAGCTGAAACTTCCTCCGGTTAAAATTCCTTCAGTGATCATTGTTCAGGAGGTTTTTACCGGGAGCCAAATTATCCGCAGAGGTCTCCTCCTCTCCAAAACAAATGGACTAGGTGATTAAAACCAGTTAAAACACTGAATAAAGCAGTTTCATGTTACAAATCAGTGTTTAAGATCCAGGGGCCAGTTGCACAAAACACCTTATGTGAAGATTTTCCTTAAAATCTGAGATAAAGTTTCCTTTAAGTAAAGTCGGTTGAACAAAAAAACCTTAAGTCTTCTCCCTAACATTTCTGTAAGGTTTTCTCCTTATCTTGGCCTTATACTTAAGGAATAGCTTAAAGTCTGTTAAACAGTTGCACAAGGAACCTCAGCAACCACAGTAAGGAAAAAAACACAAGGTACCTCTGACTGCAAATTAACCTCAACATGGCTGAGTTTATGGCGATAAATGAGGAAAATGAAGGCATGCCAAGAAGAGTGTTTCGCGAACAGGGGAACCCGATTTCCCCCCCCAATAAGCAACTGATTTTGCACTATGAATTTTACCAGAGCTCAATTTATGATTTGTCTTTACGCCTGGAGTTGGATTACTCAACTTTCCGAAGCTGTGCTCATCCAGCCCCTTTACAATTAATGATTGCTCTGTGGTTTCATGCACCAAGATCTTTCCAAACAGTTATTGGTGAAGTATTTCATGTACGCAAGTCAATAGTATGTTGTGTCATTCACTGGGTTTCAAACACCCTCACCCAACTGCTGAATGCTGTCATGAAGTTCCTGTCCAAATGTTGCAAATTTCCTCCCACATTCATTGCTTCATGTTTGCTGTTATTTTCAGATCAAACTTACTTTTAAGTATGTTCTTCCTTTTATTGAATTCCTCTAGAAGTATGTTTTTTTCCTCCATCTGACCAATTTGGTTTTGGTGTCCTCATATCTTCTGCCATTTTTTTACTATCAGACTGACTTTGTGAGAGGATACTTTTGTGTGACAACAGCCCATGTTCAAGCAAACAAATGGTTTCCATGGAAACAGTAGAATTTTACTGCTGTAAAATCTCTTTCAATACGGTAAATGCCTTGTCTTTTTTCCTTCACTAAGGAAACATTTTAAGAGATTCTGTGCAACACCCTTAATTAATTTCCTCAGCGAAGGAAAAGTAAATCTTAAGTGCCATACTTAAGGAGAAAACTCAAGATGCTTTGTTCAACTGGCCCCAGATGTTCAGGTGGTTTTTACAGTGAGCTGAATTATCAGCAGAGGTCTTCTCCTCCTCAAAACAAACAGATTCAGTGATGTTAACTGGTTAAAATAAAATAGAATTCACATCAGAAAATCAGTGTGTTTCAGACACTTCTTGTCGTTGAGGGGCTCCTAACTATGGTAGCTGACACTGAAATGCAAAAACACGAATTTCCCTCCAAAACTATCTAGAGCCAGTGTTTGGTTTGTCCATTCTGGGCTATTGTAGAAACATGGCAGAGCAACATGGCGATCTTCACAGATGAGGACCCACCCCCTATGTAGATATAAACGTCTCTTTCTAAGGTAAAACAAACAAAACAATTCTTTTTATCAGGTGATTCTACACTTAAGAAAATATACTCATTATTTTACATTCCATTTCTGCAGAAAAATATCCCCTAAACCCTACACACACTGGACCTTTAAATTACAGTTTGAGGCCCAAAGAGGTCAAATTATCCAATATTTCATTGGAAAGCAAATATCAAAGAAATATATAAAAACTGAAAACAGCTCAAGTCCGGACCTTGACCCCAGTTAGACAATGCCTCCATCTCTGCTACAACAGATCCGGGCTGAGTCATGTCTTCCAAGAGTACAGGGAGGCGTGTGACACTACTCACCAACATGTTTCCAGCCCTTTCTACCCCAGCTTTTCCATCCTACCAGACACCAGCAATCAGAAGGCTCTGATAACAAACAGGACTGTTTCCACTGACTGACCATGTGTCTCCCTTGGCTTTGTTTTTGGGAGGGTTTTTAATAGACTGAAAAGCTGTCTAACTCAAAGCCCAATAACTATGACCATATGGAAAGTAAAGCAATGATGCTCCATAAACATAACAAACATAAACTCCACCTTCTGTTCCAACCAATGACAAGTCTGTGGAAGATATTCATTGAGCTGTTTCTGTGTAAAGTGTAATTGATCTTTTACTTACTTCGCTGTGCGTTCACCACACTCCCTGGATGGAAGTCTTAGAGCAAGATAAGACAGTAAAGCACCAGGTTAGAGACAAATTAACAACGTCCACAAAAAGAAATCCAAACAGTTCCTAAAGAGGAAGACAGGAGATCAGTAGTCTTACAGGTGGACAGGAGCGTGGAGGTGAGCAGTAGGAGGAGGCCCATCCTGTATGAGGAACGCTGAGGCTCCCAACGCTGCTGGCAGTCCCGTGGTTCACAGACTTGTGACTATACTAGCTTTTGGGTGGTGTGTGAGGGGCAGATCTGATTCTGGTGGGTGGGAGCGGACACTAAGGTGGTGCTCTACCTCAGCCGCTCAGTGGTCAGTCAGTGGTGGCGGTTATCAACCCGAACAGCCCTCGGCTTGGCTTAATTTGCCAGGAAGTGAGTGTTGTTTCCTCAGGATGTTCGTGTCGCCCGGCTCTTTGCTGTTGTGGAATGTTCTCCTCTGGTCTACTTCATGTAAGTGTGTGTGTGACATGGTAGTCACAATAATGTTGTATTGCTCAGGGTGCAGTAGTCAGGCCTTTGACCTCTGACCTTGGCTGGCAGAATCGATGCAGGTAGATGAACAAGACAGGGAAAACAGTCTTTGTGCAGCACAGCCCACTTCCTGGAGGAAAGATAATTTAGCTTAGCTAGTGTGAAGTGTTTTCACAGACATAAATCTCAGCCTGGCTCTAACAGGACACAGGTAGGTGGAGTCATTGTCACTAATACACATGCTTCCCATACTACACTACTGAGAAACAGACACTTTTGACTTCATTTGTTGGTCAGTGACTTGATACAATCCAAGATATAAATTAAATAAAAGGATCTGCTCCTGAACAATATCACACCCCAAAGTGTTCTCAAACACATAAATAAATATCATGTGGACCCAGAAAGGCATTATGAAAATACAGTGAAAGTCTGTTTTTTATTTCAAAATGGTATTTTCCCAAATTATACTTTTACTTCATAATGTCACTAATGGTGCATTCAGGAGCTCCTCAGTCTCATTTCACAAGTTGGGAAGTTGTTCCTTGGATTTTTGTTGCTCAGAGTGTTTAAACAACATGTTGATAATAGTTTGAATCTTTATATTACAAAGTGATTTTGTTCCAGTTGCACCAGTAAATCCCCTAAAACTACTGAAACATTGACTAATGCCGAGTAGTCAATGCTAATTAATAACTTCTCTAACTTATCTGGGTCACTCTATGTGGAGAGTGACCAACAATTACAACCTAATACCATATTAAAAATTACAAGTGAGCAAAAAATTGATATGCAATATGTGAATTGATAAAAAGTCATTATCATCAATCAAACATTTAATTCCATTCCTGATGCTTCTGTTTATGACAGGATTCAGCAACTCCTGTACCAAAATTTTCACCAGCTTTATGAGTTTTTGTTTTGACTCAAGCAGTGTTAATTTCATTAACAAACACAATGATGAAAATTTTTCGCCAACAACCTTTTATCCATGATGAAAATGAGACAATGAAGAGCTAAAAAAAGATCTTGATAACAAAACTGGAGCGGTGTCAGTCGTTGTTGTGAGCTATGAGCTGTTAGTTGCTTTAATGTAAATTTAATGTTTTAATACTTTGACTGCAGACTCCCTGTGTCAGCTCTGTCTCCTGCACCAGCTGGATTAGGAGAGCTGCTTCAATCAGGTGCGTTATTAACAGCCATGTTACTGCATGTAATGTAGTTCATGCATTATCTGTTTTTAAATATATGATCTCAGTTTCAGATGAATTAAATGTCTGAAAATGATCACTTTAAATGTGATACCTATTTGAATTATTAGAGCAGCTCTTGGTAATTATAGGATTTGCAGTTTTGAGTGAAGCTGCTGTTCCGTTTCGAGTCTTGAAAATCTGACCCTTGCAGGACTCTGGTTAGGGATCTATAACACAAGCTGTGACACTTAAACTGGAATTTTTTGGCAAAGTAATAGGTTTTAATACACCAGCTGTTCATGTGCAAGTTAAACAGCAAGTTATATGACATGTAGGGGCAGTTTATGTACATGCAGCATATTCCAAATTCACACTCCTTTCATCATAATCCATATCCAGGGTATAAATTTTGTAAACATTCAGGGCCGAGGCACTACACTTATTTTCAATGACAAAATCATGTCAATAGTCATGTGCAGTACTACCTTCATTTTCCTCTCAAGTCTGAAAAAATGACCCTAATGACATCATCAGGGTTTCTGGGTTATGCCCCAGCAGTTTTGGTCTTTACCCATACTAAGTGCTAAAAGTCAGGATTTTTTGGCCTCTATGGCCTTCTCTCTCTCTCTCTCTCTCTCTCTCCCTTATAGAAGTGTTAAACTAAACCTTTTAACATTTTGTCTTGTCTTAATCAAAAGCAAACAAACAAAATATATTAAAATCAACACATATTTCAAGGTCCAGTGTGTAAAGTTTAGTGCCATCTAGCGGTGAGGTTGCAGATTGCTATCAATTGAAACTTACCCGGTGTGCTAAGTATGTAGGGGAACTACAGTAGCTGAGGTAAAACATGAATGACTCTGTCAGTGTTTGATTTGTCCGTCCTAAGCTACTGTAGGAACATGGTGGACACTGGAAGAGGACCCACTCTGTATGTAGATATAAATGGCTCAATCTAAGGTAACAAAAACACAATTCTTAGTTTTAGGTGACCATAAACTAATGAAAACACAGTTATGAATATCATATTCCATTTCTTCTGATTGATGCCCCTAAATCCTACACCTAAATCCTAAATCTTGGACATTTGAGATAACCAGTAAAATTCTCATCATAATTTGATAAATAAATATCAAATTAAATATTTAAAGATATTAAATAAGATGTACTAGAATGTTCCCAACAGAGACACCAAGACTGCATCAAATAGTGTTTTTCAACAAGAATTTACCTTATTGCATTAATACAGCTTGAAAATATGTTTTTTTTTAGAGTTTTTTTATAATGTAGACCAAACAACCACAGCGTAATATTATTTCAAATGCCAGAAACAGACAAAATCCGGTGTTGTATTTGGTTTATTTCATTGATTTCATCTCCTGTCTTATAAACCAGTCAGCAAAGCAGTCTAAAGTCACAGAGACAACCCTGATTGTTTTCATTTTTCCATTACTACTTTGTTTAAGTCTCTTCTTTTTCTCCAAATCTAAAATCTTAAAACTCAAAGCAGGATACTTAGAGATGAATGTGATTCTGTGCCAAAATACACGGTTTCGGCTGAGTCGGTGAAGCAGCTGAGGCCTGCTAAACCACACAGAGTGCTAAAGAGCTCGGTGACGGGGTGATGGTGGGGACTAATGTGGCGACTGCGACTGCAGCCACTTAAATGCAGACTTTATGGTGTGTGTGTGTGTGCTCCCAGTTCACTTCCAGTCCACGAGTCCATTCCTTCTGTGGGAAAAAGCAAAGCTCGAGACAACTGATGCAGAGAGGTGAGGTGGGCGTGGCAGGAAAGAAAGAGGGGGCGGCTGTCGGGGTATGTTGGCGATGAAAGAGGGCTTGACAAGAGTGTGTGTGTGTCTCTGTAAGGGTAAGGCTGTCCCCGCTCTTTTTCCCTCCACCTCACCGAGGCTAAGGCAAACAAAATGCCAGCTGAATTAAAAACATAAAATTACAAAACAGAAAGAGAAAAAAAAAAAACATTAAAAAAAGCTAAATAAGCAAAGCAGCAGCCCCAGAGAAGAGGCACATTGATGGTGATACTGCACCAAAACAAACAAAAAAATAATAATCTGAGCCCACCTTCTTAACTGTAACACACTGACATTTACATCAACAATGTCCATGATCTCTGGAGCGACAACACATCCGGTCATATGACTGACCACACTTGTCCATCATGCTGCAGACACTGGGGAGGCTGGCAGTTGCTTGACATTGGTTTGAGGTGGCTCATTACGTACCTGAGCGAGATTTAGGACACAGACTAAAACTTGACACGGTGAGCACATACAGGTACACAGTTAGAGAGAGTGTCACAGCTCCAGTGCCACCGACTAACATGCAACTCATGTTATGCCTCAAATGTTGCTAAACAAAATCAAACCAAATAAGCCTGGCAGTAAAATCAAAACTCAAAGACAGGGAAAAAAGAAAGCTCACAGGAGGTTTTATCAAAAAGAAAGATGGTCCAAACAGTGAGGCAGGCAGGTGATCCCTGGTGTGATGAGTCACTTAACCTCAAAGTTCTCTAAACCTGCTGTGCTGTGTGCTCAAAGCTTGTCTTGACTGTTTGGAAATAAGAAAGCTGCCCTCACTGTGGTTAGATAAGCAACCAGGGTCAACTTCAATTTACACAGCCAGAAAAAAGATGGAGTGGCACACAAGGGCCAAAATCAACAAACGGCAGGTTTTTTGGGACCAGTGCACTCGTCTAAAGCAGGCAAAAAAAAAAAAAAAAAAAAAAGCATTTGCAGGACTTTGCAGGACTTTCAATATCTTTTGCTTCCACAGGGTGAAGATTTGGACATATTGATAAGCAGAAAGTTAAGTCAATCACAGGAAAATCAATTTCATTGATATCTTTCCTGTCGCTAGTGTGAGTATACGAGTTAAAAATCCAGTACTCCAAGTGAATAAAAAGAAAAACTGGAAATGGGTATTTGTATTGCTATACTGTGACACCTTTGGACGCTGTAGGTCAGATTCTGGGCAAATACAGCAGTCTGAAGCTATTGATGCTGCTTTCACCTTCAAACTGAAGCACTATTTTCTTTTCTTCAGTGCGCTCTTAACTCAGAAACGTCAGGGGAGGAGCTTGAGGCTGAATCATGTTGGGGTTTTATTGCTTTCCAGGAGGGGTGGGCAGGTACTGCAGGCTCCCTGGAGGTCTGGGTGCTAAGCTTTTACCAATCTACCAATCTCCTCACTGTGCTAAATATAAGGTATGTATCATCCTCAGGGCAATGGAGGGTTTCCCTTTTTACAGGCGATAGGTTAAAAAACAAATAAACCAACAAAAACACCCCCCTGAGTCACAACAAAGGGGCTTGCATGGAAAATATGATTATGTTTGGCACGCTGGGGTCAGGGAAGCAAGGATCATGGGAGCAGGCATCTTTTTTCGGCATCAATTAAGTCCAAGGCTATGAAGGCCCACTGTGGGGCACATCTGTGCTATAATCCACTTTAACACACACACGCACACACGCACACACACACAAACAAACACTCATCATGTCTGCCTGGTCGATGTGTCAGGCCAGAATGAGCACAGTCCTCCATCCCTGGGTCCCAGCGATGCAGCAAAGTAGCAAAACTCTGCGTCCTTCGGCTGTGAGACGGCCTTTCAAATGTATTCATAAACACACAGCGGAATCCAGCAGAGGGCGAGTCTGTGTTTCCTGCATCAGTGAATGTGTTTAAACAGTGTGTGTTGTCCTTTGGGCGACCCCTCCCCCCCAAAACCTCCCCTTCGCCACCTCTAGGTTCGCTGTGGTCACAGTTCGTTCAGGTAGTGATGCTCGCTGTGTGGCGAGGAGGAGCCCCAGTGAACGGTGGGTACCACTTCTTTAAAATAGAACCTCTAATCTTCTGTATACGCTATTTAAATATACACACTCCTCAGCACAGCCAAGTCTACAATCATTAGCTTCATAATAATATGAATAAACAGTGATAATAATAATAATAATAATAATATATATATCGTCGTTCGTAGCATGAGTGTTTGTCAGCAGCCATCACTAGAACATTCAGGGTGGTAATTGCATATGTACAACAAAAATGTCATTTACATCCTGGAGCTGGAGGCTCAGGGTCAGAAGTCATATGTGGTGGTTTTGTTGGGGGGGGGGGGGGGGGGGGGGGGGGGGGGGGGGGGGGGTGATGATGAATGCTGGTGTGTTATCTGAGCCTCTTCTCTGCTGAGTAGATGGACATGTAGTAGTCGTTGCTGCCTACTGCCAAATGGGGCTGGAGGGAGACAGAAAAGAAGGCAGATTAAATGGTCTTGTTTATCACAGGTGGAATGATGTGTGTACATTCACAAAAACTGAGCAAAGGCAAAGTGTGTACCATAGCAAACACAATATGTTGATCAAATACAATTTAGAATACAGTCCATGTCAGTATTTCCTTTATAAATGCAGTGGTAATTTATTAATTATTAATGTCTGTTAATCAGCTTACTGTATGGATAAATACTTCTAGAAAACCTTCTCTTAAGACAACAGAGGAACCATTTGTGTATCAATTATGTGCAGTCATAACAGTCTATGATGACAATTGACCTATGGCTAAGCCCCGCCCTCAAACGCGATGAGCCAATCACAGTGCGTATAGCCATTCCCATACACTCGGACATTTTCTGCCTGGACGTCCATTGAAATGCATTACAAAAAGTCAGTTTCATTCAGTTTTATGAGCTTTTTCTGAGATTTGAAGTTTAAAAATGGTCAAACAGTGTGCATGGGGTACATGCAACTCCGACACAAGGTATCCTGAGAGGCTGGGCGACGAGGTGTATTTTTTACCCTTTCCTAAACCAACCGAGAAAAGTCTCTCCTTTGGATAAAGTTGTGCGGTAGACCACATCATCAACTCAATGTGATTAAGATTAACAATGATGTTTACATCTGTTCTAAGGTAAGTCAACATTTTGTTTGAGGCAACATTTTGTCACTTTGCTGGAAAGAAATATAAAGTTATCTTTAACATCTCTAGTTAACGTTAGCTAAAGTTAGCCTAACGTTAGCTCCTAGCTGCGTTGTTCATCATGTCACCTTGTTTGCTGGGAGTTCATTAGCCTATTTTGTTCTAGATTTGTACTTTGGTGATCGTACATCATTGTTAGCTGTTGTCCAGAGGGCTCTAGTTAAGCTAACGTTAACTTCTGGAGCTTAGCTTCATTAATTTATCTGTAATCGCAGAGATAACAAAGGTTGGCAAACGTTATGCTAAATGATTCAATGTAAATACTGTAGCACCAAACTAACGGAGAGACACTCTTGGTAAAGATGGTAAAAAGGCTGTTATTCTTTTCTCATATTCTGAGCCAAAAACCTTAACTTCAGTGGCACTTTATCTTGTTGTATTTGATGGTGACGGCAACGAGATGCGGTTTATCACGCTCACACTAGGACCTGTAAATAGTACCTTAGGAACCAGAAGTACGCTATCAGACATGGTACTTAGATCCTAGGTCCATTTAGTGTCTCCACTTTAAACAGTACTCTTAAGGCCCGAACATACTCGGGCGTACTATAGGCGAGGAATGTCTGCAGTCATTCGGGCTTCCATAGTCGAGCACACTTCCACGTTGTAGTTTCCTGTAAAAATGTCCGTGAAAAATCCCTGCGATGTGAAAAATACATGCCGAGCAGTCACTGGTGCGCGAAGTGGAGTCTGCGCGGTCGTAAAATCTGAGCTTTGCGCGCACAGGGCTTGCGGACGTCCACTTTGAGTCCGCGTAGACCTCCGCGGAGTCCGTTCCGCGTACGTTCCGCCCGAGTATGTTCGGGAATTTAAGTGTGGGTGGGGTTGTAGTCACTCAATGCCCAGTTCAGCAATCACTGTATTTCCTGTATTTTTACTGGTGACAGTGAGTCTGCATCTTATTTATCGTCTACAAAACGGGGTTGCACGCTAACATTTCATAACAAAACAGAACAGGTTGCAGTGAGTCTCTCTCGATGGGATATTTTAAAAATAGAGGGTGTGTGCATTTAGTCAGTCTTAGGCAAGTGCAGGGGGTTAGTGTTGCCACAGCCCACAGGAACTACGCTCTGTGATGCCACATGTGAGAATATATGCATTTCACATAATCCGGTCGAAAATACTTATTTATAAACATCTGAAGTTGCACTCATTACTAAAAGTGTCATCCAAGAGAGACAATAAAAACTAATGGGACAGTCAAAGTTGTTATATTGAAACTTAAGGTGTACTGATGGATTCAGCTGCTGCTGGAGGCAGCAAAACAGCCTGTCATTTTATAGTTAAAGTTCACTAATGTATGTAAAACTCTCCATGGTATGAACAGTGGTTACATAAGCTTCAAAACCAGCAACAACTCAGCCCTGAGCAAGAGTGACCATCCACTATTGACCAATCAATGGACTGCAGTGTTTCTAGCTCCACCTTTTAGTACCAGATCTGTGTGCTAGGTACACCAACAGAGGGGTGACCAAAAAAAGGGGGCGGTACAGAACGGTTCCATTGGTACTATCCACAACTTTTCACACTGGAAACAGGAAAAATGCATACCAAACTGAACTGAACTTTACCGGACTGCTTGGTGGGAACGGCTATCACTTTTAGGCCCGGTCAGAAAGGACTGATGGCGAGGCAATACAATGTGTTTGGGAAGTACAGAGCTTGTGACTCAATACTTGTTTTACTTTAGTTTTGCTGTTTTTAAAAGTGGTTCCCATGTACTCAGCTAATCAACAATGTTGGCTGTTTCTGGATTCTTCATTCACCAAAGGCTTGTAAAAAATTTAAGTTAATGGCATGAATAATTAATATATAAATGGTAATTTTGTGGTAGAAGTATTCCTTTAAAACGCTATAATTTTGAGGTACCTTAGGTTAGTATTTCCATTTTACTCATCCTTATACTTATTCTTCTCTACATTTTAGAAGGAAATACATATTGTACTTTTTACCTCACCACAGTAATATAACAACAATACTGTGGTAAAAGTTTTTTAACACATAACAAAACAGTTTGCAAAATATCATGCATTAATGTACATCTACGTACCCATACTCCACAAAATTTTGAGTAGCTCTGAAATATTTTAAACTACTAGCCTAGGTGAACGACTGCATGAATACTGCTGTGGTCGGTGACTCTAAGTGTAAATTTACCCAGTGAGGATGGAAGGCTAAACAGCTGATGGCCCCAATCCTTTGTCCCATGAAGCCATCATAGTACTTTATGTTGCTGATCACATCGCCGTTAGCATTGTAGACTGCTATGAACTGGTTCATTGACCCACTGGAAAGAAGTGGGTAAAAGAGAGAGAGAACAAGACATACTGTAAAATCACATATGCTGTGTGTAGTACAGTGATTTCTTCTGTGGTGACATGTAACCTTTGGGATGGATGTCAGGTGTAATGCCCAGTTAAATTTGTTGTGTTTGTCGAGCCAATTAAAAACATAAAGAAATCTATTTTGCAACCAAGTAAAGAAGACAGAAAAGGAACCATGAAGGGATTTGACATTCACATTGTGGACACTTGATGAGCTTATCTAGGGGCTGGGACCTGCATCGATACAAACAAACTCACCAAGCAAACAAGTTGGCCTGTGGGTGGATGTCCAGGGCCGTTAACCCCTTCACTGTCTGCAGCACGTTGATAGAGTCTGGTGTCCGCGGTTCAAAGAATCGAACGTCTCCGTTAACACTGGCGGGGAACATCAAGGTTAGTAAGGGCAGAAAAAAAGACTGTGAATCTTAACAGGCAAAGAAAGAACAAACCTGACACTGATAATGTGTCCGTCCGTCTCCTTCTGTAGATGAGCTTTGACCACCCAGGCTCCGTGCTCCCTGTAGGTCATCACACGACTGCAGAAACACACAACAGACAGAACAAATGTCAGCTTACACAAAATAGTACCAAATTTCAATCCTCTTGCCTAAACCTAACCAATCCAACCAACAAAGGCAACAAGTACTGGCCAGTTAGAGTGGGGCAGGTTATACCTCCACCATCCTAGTAAACACAAAGTCATGTCACAGACAGCGTTGGTCCCCTTGTTGCGATCTCGACAAAGAATTCATGTGAGTACATCTTAAAATGAACAATACATTCAGAAATGGTCACACAGCAGAGGGGACCTGTTTTCTCTAGAGCTGGATTCGCTCAGGTTGCAACAAATGATCGCCAGAGTTGACAAAAATCAATGATCATATTAGCTGTTACTTCATGTTATGAGCTGTAATGCTATATATTTTGAAATACATTTTCTCTTGATAAATGAATTGATGCTTAAGAGTAACATCAGCAGATAATAATATCTCAAATCAATCCGGTTCACATGTGCCCTAACTTTAAAATCTTAAACGCTGCATGGTTCATAGCAATTTTTTAATGATAAAGCTGGAAACTGTGCTGGCGCTGTGGAGAGTGCACTGCACACAAGGTAGAAGTGAAGCAGCGAAGCATTTGGTATTTTGTATATCACAAAAACATCTACAACTCCTGTCTATGTGTGTGTGTGTGTGTGTGTGTGTGTGTGTGTGTGTGTGTGTGTATGTGTGTGTGTGTCCACTGTGGGTTGCATTTAAATTAACTAGTTATGGGATTGTCTGATCTCATTTGAACTTGACCTTTGGAAAAAAAGTGACATCCCTAATAATTAAAGCCACTCTGTTGCTATGGTAACCCGTTTGGTCCATGATGACAGGACTTGGTTTCAGTTGAAAATTCTTCTGTATCAGCAGGAGAGTTCATTAAAGACGTCTTTTTGACATATTCATCTTTATTCTTTTTATTGTTAGTTAGCACAATTTAAATCTGGTATCTATTAGCTGTCAATAAATCAATGTATTTGTCACATGAAATCATATAAAATCATGTAAAGTTACGGCTGACCAATATATCAATATCATAGTAAGATATGAGACAAGATATTTTCTTAGAAATTTGGATATCATACGTGTTGTCTTTTCTTGGTTTTGAAGGCTGCATTACAATAAAGTGCTGACATTTTCTTAGAACAGAACAGAACAGAACAGAACAGAACAGAATAGAATAGAATAGAATAGAATATATCTTTATTGTCCTCCAGGGGTGAAAATTTGTCTTTGGCTCACCAAACACAAAAGACAACATTGTAAAAGCAGGTAAATAGTTAGTAAAACAAACAAAACAGTCATTACAGAAATACTTAAAACATTAACTCAGCGTTAAGGATAAGGAGTTAAGGATATTGATGGTTATTGATGGATATTGATAACGATATTTGACTTTCTCCAAATAGCCCTGCCCTACATAAAATCATTAAACTACAATTCCAGTGTTGTTCCAAATAGTTGATTATTCATTTCAATAATTGATAGACTATTCGACTATCAAAACAGTTGTTAGTTGCAACCCTATGAATGAGCAGTAGTAATAAACACAACGTCTCTATACGCCCCAATAGGACATGCAAGAGAACTATTAAGGCAGGCAATGACCAGAATGTCTTTAAACACACGCCCCCCTGAAGATGCAATATATGACGTGCACACGGCGCCCATGTTCTGTTAGTCACTACGTGACAGACTTTTGCATTTATAGGATTAGGCTTGCATACTGCTGGCAAGCCAAATAACAGCTACAACAATTACAGAGTCAAAGGATTTATCATAAATCATTCAATAAGTGAGTGAAGAAGACAGGAGCAGTAATAACACAGAAACAACAACAAAACAAGTAATCATAATTCAGTGAGACAAGACCACATAACTACCACCCTGGCTACCTGTTAGGTAGAGAGTTGATTTTAAACTTTTACTAATTACTCGCCTATAATTAGTAAAGGTAGCCTATATGGCCTTGCCGCTGCCTGCGCTCCTCCTAACTGTTCCTACAGCCCGCCTCATTACAAAGGGAAACTGGGTGTTTTCCATTAGAGCCCCACAACTGTGGAACTCCCTATCTGAGGGACTTACGTTAGTGCTTCTCAAAACATACTTTTACAGGAAGGCTTTTTTCCCCCCCCAATTTTTACAGTAAATCTCTTCTTTGTCTAGTTTATATCCCTCTTTTTAAAATGTTATTGTTTATTTATTCATTTTTATTATACATATACATTTATCTCGTCTTAGCCTATGCAAAAAAGTTTATTATCATTATTAGTTATGAGCAGATGAACTAAGGATGAATGATAAAAGATCTGGTTCAACATTAAAAGTAATTACTTTCAGAAAACTCTGAAAAATGCGGGACCTACAGTTTGAATTTTAGGACACAAAGAAACTATGGCTCAAGTTGCTTTTGAGGACTGGAATCATCTGAATGGATTTTTATTTTTATTTTGGAATAATGAAGTCTTTGTATTGTTTTAAACTGATTTAAGAACTGTCTGTGTGTATGTGCTAAAGCCCTTCCCCTCATATGTCATGTTGAACAGGGGATTAAAGTCTTAGCAAAATAAATAAACAAAAATAAACAGCAGTATAAAACACAAAAGCATGTCACCTTCTGCTGTAACATGTAATAAAGGCAAGAAACCACTGGGTGGCATCATGGGACTATGACCGAAAAAAGCATTAACTGCCTCCTGGAGAGACGTAGGTGGCTCTGAGGCATAAAACCCTACAACCACCTTTTTAGAACTAAGCTGCACCTGACTACGCACCACCCATAATGCACTCTATTAGTGTTGGTCAAATACATCCTGACTACATGTGTGACAGGAAGTGCATTCAATCTCCCCATATTCAAGGACAAAAAATTTATTTATGACAATTAATAGCAATTTTTAGATCATAAGACTCTTTGTAAACTGTTGCACACAAGACATACAAATCATTTCATCAAGAATATTTCAAACATGTTCTGTATGTGCCTGTCTGCTGGTCCTAGACTAATCTCAGTGGGAGCAACATACAGTAGTTGCTAAAAGATGTACCTTCATGCCTGAGGGGAACGATTAAATTAGCTTTACTTAAAGATTTATGGGCCACTACATGGCTTAACTGCTTTGTTTCCCCCCCTTGGGTCTGAAATTAAAATAATGTTTAACCAACTGGGGGGGATACGGTGCCACCAGGGTCCATTAAAAGAGGTGGCAACCTCAAAGGGAGATTTACAGCACACTATATATAATAAGTATAGATTAGAGAAATGAATAATGTAGGACTGTGTTGAAGTTAATGCCCACAGAAAGTGCTGTGTGTGTTCTTCAATGTGTTTAAATAATGGTGAGACAGTTAAAGAAAAAAAAGAGCTGGGAAATTAAACTATAAATAAATAATCAACTTAACCTCGTCTGTGATCAGACAACAGTGAGGTCAGACTGAGAGAGAGAGAGAGAGAGAGAGAGAGAGAGAGAGTGTGTTTTACCATTCATTTGGACCCATCCTCCTGTCGAATACGCGTACAGATCCGTCACCCAGACCGGCAACAATGAGGGAACGCTGGGAGTCACAAGAGAGGCTGGTCACACAGCTGTCCGCTCCTGTCGGGATGTCCTGGTGGACACACACAAACACAAAAAAAATGGCTTCTAAAGCAAACTAGCAGGGTACCACTGTCAACACAACTCTCATCTCACATTAACCCTTCACTGAAATCATCAATCATGCGCTTTGTTGAGGGTTGGCTCATTTGAAGTTGGCCCCGGCATCAATATGCAGCCACAGGCGAGGCTGGGCCATTTGTACTTGTATTAAGTCCATCCATCAAGACAGTGATTAGCACACCAAGGACCATTACATGTGTAAAAACAAAGAAAGAAGAATAAGAGGAAACGGCACTAATGGTGCTAGCTCTGCCACAGACTTCCATTAGTTCACTTCATTTTCATTAGTACACTGCGCACATTCACACCAAAAGCTAAAAAGCAGAGTATCATTGACATGATTTATTCGTGTTTTTGTACCATTTATTATTATATTTAGTATCATCTATGGTATTATTTATTTGTGCTTTGTCTGATGGAAATTATTTGGGGGTGGGGGGTGGGGGGGCTTTTTAACTTGTTTACATTAAGGGGATAGTTTGGATCTTTTGAAGTAAGGATGTACAAGGTACATATCTATAGTCAGTGTGTTACATACAGTAGATGTCAGTCAACCCTAGTTTGGAGAAGCAGACAGGAGTACTGACACAGACTCTAAGCAATGTACTGCTGTACCTCAAATAAAAATCAATATTGGTTTAAGTACATTATACTGAGCTTTTTTTAACCACTTAACCTTTACATCATACAGTGATTTCCAACAGGAAAGAGAGGCCACTATATCGCTCTCTTCAAAGCCACTCCATTGAGAACAGTCATTTAACATCGCTGAGTGCAGGAGCCGCTGGTTTACCACTGCCTTGAACAGTTAGTTTGTCTTATTCTCTGACTATGGTTTTTAAAAGGGTTAGTTTGGATCACCCACTATACATAAAGACAGACAACGTGTCTCCACTCACCCCCACTGTACAAAGATGACGTCAAAATATCCCGGATACAGATGCTGCCGAGAGAAAACTTCAAGCTGCTGGTGGCGCTAAATGAAGTCAATGGATCTTCACAGTCATCTGTTAGATTTGACTAAAATGAATCATAACTTAACTATCTGCCTCTAATTTCATTTGTTTCAAGCATTATTGGCAACACCTCGGTAAGGTTTGTTAACAGAATTTAGATATGATCTACAACTCCAGAAACAATGACAACACTTTTAGCAGTAGTGCAGTAGTATGTGTAACCCTCGCTCAAACAAATGACCATCAGAGTGTTCTTTATAGACACCAAAAGACATCAAACCTGAGTAAAGACTACACTGTAAACCCATACGCGCTCACACAACTTTGAATTTTTTTTTGGAAAAAGCTTGCAATCAAAACTTTTAGTTTAGTACAATACAGTAACATATGCTGCATGTCATCCCCCCACTCTCTGTCTCCCCATTTCAAGATAAAACAATCTTTAAAAAACATAACTTTTTTTGATGTGTAATCGTTTAGTTCTATGTCCTATGAACATAAAAACATTGAGTACACATTTACAACATGTTTTTTAAAATTTCATTGAATTGCAAAAATACATTGTGGACAGGTGAAGTTTCTCAATTACTAGAATAAGGCAAAGAGTAGAACTCTGAACTAGGAAGTGCTCTTTATTTCACCTCAGCACAACTTTATGTTAGAGACTCTAATATCCACACAGGCAGAACATCACTGTGTATACGACTAAACTCGTGGTGAAAAATATTTTTAACCACAACATTAACTGTAACACATTAGAGCCACTGTGATATACATAAACATGAATCACTGTGTAATGGGTAACGTGAGCGATTTAGAACATATTAAAACATAGTTTTCCTCGCCTTATGGCCTTAAACACATTGTCTCATGGCATGCTGGGAAACTCTGTCCATTTAGCCCCAACACGCCGCAATATGTTAAATGCACGATAATAGTATTGTTTACTGGCTTTTAACTAATTAGCTAAAACTCAAAAATGTTTTGCTTAACATAAAAAAATGATGTCAAGCTCACAAGGGATGACTTTTTGTGTCAAGTGAACATAATGTTTTTATGTCATTTTGAAAATCCGGGGCATTTGTGTAGACTTGTCATGGATGGATTGGTGTTTACAGTGTAAAAGGAACATAAATTGAAGAATTGATTCATCGAGAAACAAGAAGATCTTTAGGCCCGCAATGCCTGAATGCCAACTTTCTCATCAGCTAATAATAAAATAAAAAATAATAAAAGCTACTAAATGTCATCTTTACATCGAGTTCGAGCTGTATTTATTGTGAGCTTTTAGAGAAAATCAGACATGCAAGAGGATCCACTGAGTACAATACTGTACCTGGACTTTCATCTCCCTGTCTGTGTCCCAGATCCTGACGACTCGGACATCTCCAGATGTCATAAGGAGACCCGTCTCCTGTTCCCAGTCCACCACCATGCCTGCACCTACAACACAAGATGACACAGAAGTTATAATGCAGAGCATGTACACTTAAACATTCACCAGGACTGTGTGCTGTTATGTCATTCTGTTGTGTCATTCAATCAAAACAAAAGAGAAGGCGTTTTTTTTTGTAACATCACCATTAATAAAAACATTGAAAGATGGCCAATATCTGACATATGACTATAAAATATTAAATTACTGAGAAAAACTTGTAAACAATGTGTGAACGGTGGCTTCAATTGACTGTTTTTTAACACAGTTAATTTTATTTATCAGTGAACCCTCATGCACATTAACCCACACAAACACAGCTGTTAAATACACCCAGCATGTGTTGATCAGCCTAAAACACAACACACACAATCTGTTGGAGGTTTCAGAAGGCCCTCGCTGCCACATGTAGCAAGTCAAATGACAGATTAGTGCAACAGCTTCCTGCACCACTGGGTAACTAAGAAATACACCACAAAGGACTGAGCAGGACCAGAAACATCTTTCTGCAGACTGCAGGTGCATAAGCGATACCTTTTCGTTCAGTTATATATCAAAGTTACATATCACAGTCACCAAGTCTGTGTTTTTCTTTCTAAAAGTTCCACATTTCTTTGTGTATAAACGTGCATGTCACGCAGATGGAAGCATGGGTTAGCATTTTGCATCCTTCCCGTCAAGCCGACCGCTGGGAGATGCAGACACTGACCCTGGAACAGAGCCCGTCAGCAGATTCTGGCTCAGATGAGTCAAATGGCACTCGAGTGAGAAGTGAGGAGGAAAGAAGCTGAAGACAGCAAGACTCTTCATATGTTGGCAGTCACAGCAGGAATCAAGCGAGCGGTGCCATGTCAGCCACACTTGCCCTGCTGGCTCAGTGATGCCTGGCGGAGGCCTGTGGCTCCAGCCTAAAGGCGGCAGTACGCTTCAAATGAAGCGCTTGTTGGATCCCAGATCAGTGTCTGAAAACCCACATTCTGACAATCACTTCACAGAGCAATGGTGCAGCCAGGTGTTTAGAGGTGAGAATGTAAGCAGGGTTTAAATTTAAGATCTCTTTTTTTCATTAATCACACAATCAACCATCTCAAACTTCACAACATAAACATGGTACCCTTTGTGTTTCCTGTTGAAATGTTTTGCAGCATATGTGAATGACATCAGCTGACAGGAAGTAAACATGATTCCAAGCTGCTGCCTTGCAATGCAATTCTAGTGAAATGGTCTATAGTACAACAGGATGCAATGCTAGGAATGCCTTTGAGGAGTGACTGTCTGGAAGTGTGCATCCTTATTCCCATTTGTACAATTCATCACACAGAGCTCCAGAGTGTGACAGTTTTGGTCACACATGCAACCAAAAATCTGTCTTTTAAAACACATGTAAACATGTTAGTTTGACTGAAATCATACTTAATCAAATTTCTCAAAGTTGGACTAACACACGCAGATAATGTCATTGGGAGTCGAATTACTCCTGCATGTATACAGTCAGTTGGACCCAAACTGGCCGAAGCACTCTGCATGTGCTCCATAGTTTCCGCTCAGTGTTTTGACCCAGAAAGTCGAATAGCATTAAATGTGTAACAGAAGAAGAAGGCGGTAACAACATGGTGAAATCTACATCCGGAGCTGTGCATTTTTGGATGGACAAGGAAACACACTTCATGCTTTGTCAGCTGAAAGAGTTAACTATTCGAAAATACATGGATGGGAGGAATGGCAACTTCTTCAAGAAAGTGGCAGGACAGCTGGACGAGGCTCGATTGTTTGATCGGCAGCATAACAGGTCAACCAGAAAAAGGTCCAATACTAACAAGCTGAAAAGGGGCATATCTCTACTTATTGTAGCAGAGTCGGACATACTTCAGTCAATAAACTGTTTCCCTTTCTGTGCTTTTTACACAGGGACAAGGCCAGTAGTCCAATTAAATGGCTTAGTTGAGCAATAACCGTAGCTTGACTTAACTGTGCATGTAAACATATGTAGTGTCTAAATCTGCGTCTATCTGATCCAGCAACCAGCAGTTATTTTAGTAAGAAATCTTAACTTTTGAATTATGGTTTATCTATTTTTACTGATGCTGAATTGACAAGCATACTGTTGACGTGCGTCGCCTTTAATCTTGTGTTTATAGAGTTATGTGTTTTTGTGGACACGTACTTCTTAAAAGGATTTTGGTGTAATATTATCCACCAGGAGCAGGATGGGGAATAACCTCAAAAGGAATCTAGTTGTAGTCTTGCATAGTGACCCTGCAAGATCCCCAGTCTTTCAAATTCTTAATGTGTGTGACTAATACTCACACTGTCTTTGGATGTGAGAGGGTCTCAGTCTTTTCAAAGTATTCTAAAAGTCTTCTAGTGTCTAGTAGGCATTATGGTCGCAACCCTTTAAAGACTGTTAAAAGCTTTGGAAACAACAACTAGTGTGAGTGGACCTTTATTTTGTCAACAACACTAGGATGGATCCTAGTGGCTACACAGCTGGGGAATAAAATAACTGGACCATCAGCAACAATTGGAGAACCACATTTCCCACAAGCTACCATGCTGAGAGGAGTGCAGATTCTATTTCGACAATGGATGTTTATGTGATGAAGGAGAGGGTGTTAAAGGGGCAGGCAGAGACTCCAAATGCACATGAAAACACTCTGTCACTTTTACCACAGCCGCAATGCAAACAACATCCTCTCTCTCCTCTTGAAACTCATTTCGCTTCATTTCATCCCTGTCCTCCTCCTTGTTCTCTCTTAGTCACTTCCTCCTCTTGGTTTTTCAAAATCAATAACCATCTCCAGCTCACCCACCTATGTCACCACCTCTCTTTATGCATTCACTTCATTCTTTAACTCAGCGGCTTTTCATCCTAATTGGCTCCTTTTACACAATTTTGAGATGGAGTGAATATGATCTCCATTAGTGTGCTCTCCTCTGGCCTCGCAGAACAATAGTAAACCTGTGCATCTTTCGTGATCCTGTCCCACCACTCATCAAGCTTCACTTTCTTCCACTGAACCATCGCTAACAGGGCTTCCTACTGCTCTACTTGGCTTGGGTTGTCAGGAAATCCCAAGCCCCCTGTGGAGGCATCGCATCCTCCACTGTGACTTCATCCTGCCTGCTCAGGCGTCACAACGTCACGCTGCTGCTAGCGTGGGCACATGTGGGGGGATAGCACGCAGGGGGAACCACTTCACAGGACTGTGCTCAGTCAGTGACACATTCACAGTCGCACGCTTGATGCTGGCTCATTTCAGAGGCTGTGAGAAGAGAAGGAGGCATTCCCTTTGAAGCTGGCAGCTCTGCGAAGAGGAAATCTGGGTTACAATGAGAGGGGTGGAGAATGGAAGATTCTCCAACACAAAATGTGTGCATGTATTTCCTCTAAAATAAGGAGCCCACATTTGATTTGATCCTCCTTTATGCATCATTATTTTTCCCTGTGTCCTCCTATAATGAGAAATCAATTAAGGATTAAATATAAAGTGCATGAGGGGAGATCCCCAGGAGACTATGCGCTGCTAATGGTCTAATCGTCTCTGTGTTTTGGTGTCTATTATAAGCACTACCAAATTGCTCTGGAGCCAAAATAAGATACTGGGCTCCTAAATACCCTCTGTTCCTTCCACTCTATGCAGTGGGTCCAGTTTCTTGGTGCTGGAGCCTGACTCTGTGTCTGCTATGTGGTACTTTGATCAAACATATAAAGTAATGAAGGACTTAACAAGATGGATGCAAAATGAATCAGTGTGCTGAAATGAAAACAATCTCTGTACACGAGTGTTTTCGCACCATTTCAGACAGAATCTCTGTCCATGCTAACACGCCTGAAAATGCATATCACATGACTACTCATGTTCGCTGGGCCAGGAAGCAGACTGTCAACTCCATGGTTGGTTGCTACATTATAGAAAATACTGCAGAGATGGTGAAAAGTAAGACCAGACATTCCTGTGCTTGGATTGATGGCGAGGTGAAACTGTTCCTGAGAGTAACACATGTGGCAGTAGAGGCAGCAGAAAATATTTGAAGTTGTTGCAAAGTAAATATGGCAACATATCAACGCAGTGCCAGGAGCATCATGCATCACCAGAGGAAGCCATGGCGATTGGAAAGGAGTGCCCGCACAAGAAGGAACGCTTAGCTTTAATGTTCTGGCTTGACACATTTCCAAAAAGCCTCTGTTTCTTCTTGTTCAGACCATAGATTGAATATACAGATGACAGCTCTTCCAAGGTGAAGCCGAATTGCTTTTGATTGCCCCCTGGCGGCTGGCTGCAGTACAGATGGGATGGGTCTTGGGTCAAACTAAAAACTCAAAGTACACAACAAATACATTTTTCCCAAAGATGGTTTTTGTCATTTAAGTTACTTTTTATCATGCTGCTGTATGTTCAAGTGATCGTTTTTCTGATTAGTTGGGTTTTAATTAGTTATCTGATGCTGTAAAATGGGGATTTTACAACACGATTGACAAGTAACATTTGGAGATGACACTACTGTGGTAGGTCTGATTGACCATAACAGTGAAACAGCCTATAGAGCAGAGGTGTCTTTGCTGACAGAGTGGTGCGGTGCTCATTCAACAACCTAACCCTCAATATCTCCAAAACCAAGGAGATGGTTGTTGATTTTCGCAAGAAATTCTGCAATGCTCTCCATCCCTTGGACATCAAAGACCAAACTGTTGAGAGGGTAGACAGTTTCAAGTTCCTTGGGACTACCATCTCCTCTTGTCTTAAATGGGACATTAATGCTAGCCTGACTGTCAAAAGAGCACATCAACTCCTGTTCTTTCTAAGACAGCTTAGGAAATTCAAGGTATCTAAGGCTGGGATGCTCCATTTCTACATCTTAACTTTCTCTGTCACAGTGTGGTATGGAAACTGTTCAGCAGATGACAAGACTGCCATAGATAAGGTTGTCAAAATACCATCAAAAATCATTGGTCTAGACCTTCCCAGAATTAGTGACACCTACAACACCCGTCTTCTTAAAACTGGAT